CCTTATACGCCTGCTCGAGGCGGAAAACGCTACATTTTGGTGGCTGTGGATTATTTCACCAAATGGGTAGAAGCTGAGCCGGTCAAGAATATCAAGACAAAGGATGTCATCTCTTTCATTTGAAGAAAACATCATCACCCGGTTTGGGGTACCTATGTCTATGGTTTTTTATAATGGCCCTAAGTTTGAAACCCCTCATCTTAAGACTTGGTTGGGAGATCAGGGCATCTGACATTGTTTTGCATCAGTCGGCCGACCCCAATCAAACGGCCAAGTTGAAGCCTTCAACAAACTCATCTCAGACAGCATAAAAAAGGAAATCGAAAGAGAAGGTGGCTTATGGGCAGAAGAACTAATTTATGTCCTATGGGCCATCCGGACTACTGCCAAAGGGGCAACCGGTGAAACCCCATTCCTCATGGTATACGGCGCTGAAGCCTTCTTGCCCATTGAACATTACAAGCCGACTCTACGAGTTATGCTTTATGATGAAGAGGCAAATTGGGAGGCCATGCGGCTAGCATTGGACTCCCTCCCGGAACGCAGGGGCAACGCTGCCCTGCGCCATGAGATATACCGTCTCAGAATGACCAGAGCCTACAACAAGAAAGTGCACAGGCGTCCTTTGAAAGTTGACGACTTTGTGTTACGAAAAATGGAGGCAACCGGTAGGGCCAATGAGGCTGGAAAGCTAACCCCTAATTGGGAAGGCCCCTACCGGATTTATGAAGAACTCAGGGACGGCACCTACCGTCTGGAAACCCCAGACAGTAGGTGCCTGCCTAGAACTTGGAATGTAGATAACCTAAAAAAGTAATACTTTTGAGAAACGTAAATTTTTTGTAAACAGTGAGTCAATTAATGAGAATTCAGACTTTGTTTGCAGAATTGTTTTGTTATTTTTGCTTATCCACCTGGGTAATACTCAGACGGATTATTTGTTTAACTAACTAAGTTTGATACTTAGAAAGGTTGTAATTGCTTTTCCGCTTGGGTAATACTCAGACGGACCCTTTGTTTATTTAACTAAGTTTGAAACTTAGTATAATTTAATAATTGCCTGCCCGCCTGGGTAATTACTCAGACAGACTCTTTGTTTAACTAACTAAGTTTGATACTTAGTGTAATTCAATAATTGCTTGTCCGTCTGGGTAACACTCAGACGGACTATCTGTTTAACTAACTAAGTTTGACACTTAGTGTAAATTCAATTTTGTAATAACGCTCGGCCGATGGTCGGATTAAAAAAGTTAAGCACAAAAACTCTTAGTGGCTATACAACCGGTCTCAAACAAGACCAAAGGCCCAAAGAGGCCGGATGGTTGCTTATTTTATAAAATCGCCTGTCCCAACATGGACAAAGGCGTCTGGCGACACCCCTCCGGGTGCAATCGTCGCAGAGAACAGACTATTTGTCGGTTCTACGAACCTATGCAGACGACGACAATTGAACGACCAAATTGGTCAACTCATAGCCGTCTGACCAGAATAATCTATAAAGAACGATTAAGTTATCGAATACCGAATGCCCCGAGGCATCAGTCGGTATCCGGCTGAAGTTCTCACTTAGGTTATTTATTCCAAAGTTGCACTTTCTCTCCCAATTGGGGCAAAAGATTTTGTGTAATGGCTATGTAATAACCCAGACGGAATATAACCGCCTGGGTAAGAAGCTCAAAGCACCCGCTCTAATGGTCGGCTGTGCACTTGGTTTGGGGCAATCACCATTGTGATTGATTGGCCTAAAAACACTCCATACTTCTCCTAGTATCGAGTGTTTTCAAGCCAATCAATCAATTTGAAACAAAACCAACCACACAGCCGTCCAGGGGCAAGAGCACCCGGATTGAAAATTATTGCATGCTTTTCTAAGTTAGGCAAAATATTAAAGAATTGCAAGCATACGCAAAATTCAAATTGAAAAATTTATTCAAACTCAAACAGGTATAAACAACCGACTAAGTCGGAATACTTCATTAAATATTTAAAATGGCTCAAAGGCCAGAAGTTGTGTTAACCGGAGTTACATCCGGTGAAGGAACAAAAAATAAATTGTTAACCCAACCCCATGGTTGGTAAAGATACAATATTACACGGCATACAAGCCGGTAAAGAAACAGGATGGCATACTGCCGCGGAAAGTGGGGAGGCCCACCTAACGGTGAGGTGGATGCTGCTGCTCCAGCTGATCCTGGCTGGGTTGGCCTTCATCTTGATCATCCGCCGCCGGCTCCTCATTATCAAAGACTTCATATCCCTGCTCTGCAGCCCAATCTTTGAAAAGAGGCGGAGGAGCCTCACCCAGTACTTGGGCATCATACACCTCAGTGGCGTAATCATACCTGAGCTTATAGACCTCAAAGTCTATATCTGGGTAGAGGAGGCTCCAAGTGATCTTCATCCAGGCCAGATTATCACGCTCATTCTCCTCCATCAGCGGCTTTTGCTCTTGGGCGGGCTCGTCCGACTGCCTGTTTCGCAGAGTGACAAGCACAACCCCCAGGCGGGAAACGTCTGCTCTGAGTTGAGTGTTTTCTTGATCAGCATCCTCTAAAGCCTTGAGCTCAAATTTGGCATCCTTCAGTTTTTGCTCAAGGTCATCAGCCCGTCTTTGTCTTTAAATCACACATATAATTAGCATATTCAGCAAAGTTGAGGTTTTCAAGGGCCCTCCGTTTGGCGTCATTTACCTCTTCTTGCTTCCGCCTGAAGGGGCCACGGAGCCCGTCCACCCTCAGCATTACCTGAGAGAAGAGCAGTCGGATTATGAGTTACTTAGTAAAATCAAAGGAAAAGATATCAGGGTTGTGGGATTCCTTACCTCAGCCAGTTGGCCCATTATCCGGTCAAAGTCCACTACCTGCAGATCAGGTATGGAGTTCTTCTCTGACCAGGTGAGGGTCCTCACCATCCGTTTTGCGAAACCCCCAAGATCCGGCTCGTCGGATGTCAGATCTGCATCAAAAGTAGTACTCTGTGAGAAAGAGGCAGCATAGTTGGCACTCATCCGTTGCCGGCTGCTGACTGAACCCCTAGAGGGATCAACCTTAGTCTTGACTCTCATGAAGTCAAGTGACCAAGGTATTTCAATCCTTCCCTTACCTTGTGTGTCCGGATGAGGCTTAGGCGTCTTCTCCTCCCCAATTGTTGCCGCACCGGCTGAAACATTAGGTGGCTCGCCACCCTTCGATGCCATAGAGGCATCCGACGCTTTCTGCTGTGAGCGTTCTGAGCTTTCGCTCAAAATCTTCATCACAACAGGAGATTTGCCTCCGATCGTTGGACGATCGGATTTGGCAGCAGAGTTTGTCTGGGGGGGGTCCTTTCTGGCGGCCTTCGCAGCCGAAGTTTTCTCCAGATCTTCTCCTTGCCTTTTGAGAAGCTTGGAGAAGGATCGTGGCACTCGCTTTGCAGAGTCCTGAAAAATGAACAAGGGTCAGTATACTCAACCGGCAAATTGCCTTAGTAAAAAAAATATATATATACACATATAATGTCAGGCGGTCTTACCCCGCCTTTCTTAGATTCTTTTGCATCGACGGATGCTTTCTTGGCGATTGCAGCCTTTTTACGCAGCAGCGCCGCCGACTTAGCCGGAGTCTTCGCTGGATCAACCATTTTCAAGGCGTCGTCTGCATGAATAGAATTCAAGTTAGAAGAAATTATGGAAATCTTGTATGAATAACAAAATAACACACTCCGGATGTAAGGTAATCTACCCTGGGAAACATGGTACTCAGCCCCGCAGGCGGACAAGAAGCACTCGTCTTTGAAGAAGTCCTGATGGGGGATCCAGTTCTTGGGAACTATAATGTGAGTCCCATCCCCCATGGGCTCGGTTGTTGTTTCAAAAAATCCCGGATCTATTATTTGCTCCCGGGCCTTAGTAGACAGCTCCGGGAGAGGGCACTTCCTGCCTAGAAGAGCCGGCTCTATGTTGTACCGGCGCAGTGTCCGGTTATGCCTTAGAGTTGGGGAAGAAATCAAGTAAAACTTGTCCTTCCACCCGGACCATTTGGACACTTTGTCCAAAGTCATCAAATATTGGGGCAAGGTAGTCAGAGAATACCATGCCCCACGGCCGCCTGGGGCCTTGCTCAAATAATGCATGTGAGCGAAGGCGGAGAAGCTTGGATTTATATTTTGGAACTCGCAGGTGGCGATGTAGCTAAGAATGTTCACCCACGAGTTGGGGGTGAGCTTCCAAACTCCTACATCGTACCCCTTTAGGATTTTCCTAATCCCGGGGTGGAGGGGGAACCGGTGGCCGACTTCAATGACCGCCTCGTAGCAGACAAAGTGATGGTCTGCGTTATCAATGTCATCGCTCCAGGCCATTACTGCATCAGCCGGTGGAACGATGATGTCCCAGCCCCTTCCAAAGGGGTGCTTTTCTTTAAAGGCCCTAAAGCCGCTCTTGAGTAGGGCAATGTTACCCGGCAGCATTCTAGTCCGTTTGGGATTGGGGAGGTCGGTGACCTTAGGCGGCTGCTGATAGTCAGCCGCAAAGTTATCTTGGTCAGAGCCAGAAGATTCGGCCCTCGACCCTTCGCCGGCTTCAGCATCACAACTACAAAAAGCGTGTTTTCTGGACGCTTTTTAAGGCTTTTTCGACGCTAAAAAGCGTCAAAAAATTAATTCTCGACGCTGCTAAAAAGCGTCGAAAATACGTGAGTCGAAAATTTTCAGGGACACAAAAAAGCGTCGAGATTCTCGATGCTTTTTTGTGTCCTAACTAATATACGAAGCATCGAAAATTACGTATTTCGCGCATTATCCCAAATATGTGTAGTTTTTTAGCGACGCTTTTTTTGCCTAGAATCATTAAATTGGCGACGCTTTATTTTGTCCAGATTTTCATACATTTGATTTTAATATTTTGAAGATGCTTTTTTCTGTCTATATTTTCTTTGTTGGAGACGCTTTTTCTTGTCCAAATTCTTATTTCACACGTATATTATTATTATAAGTATACTAGTAATCTAGTATTACCAATAAAATAGAGAAAGCAAAATTATGGCAGTTTTTTTTTATTGCATATATAAATATATTATAGTATATGTACAATTAAATTATCTCATAGTAATGAGAAATACAACCACTATATTTCAAAGTTACACTTTATTCGTGACTAGTGGTAGTGGAACAAATATGCTCATTTCTTTACAAAAAAAATTGCAACCTATCTCTAATTTAGCTGCTCCTTAATGTGCTTGCAAAAGGGCGTAAAACAAAGTGTCGACCAATAACTCATTGTTAGCCTTGAATTCATCGCAAACCCTCTGATGTTTCTGAATCCTAAAGCAAGAACTAGTTGTTCAGTTTATCTTGGGGAGACATACAACAACAACATCGTGGATTAATAATAGCACTGATATTGTGGTCAACAACCATGTGGTCAGAATCCTGCAGCGACAACAACAATATTTATACAACTTATTGTTCTAATTTTGATGATATTGATGTTTAGAAGAAACAAGGGATGGCGAGAAATATTGATGGAAAAAATCTAGTTGAACAATGGAGATGCATTACCATGACAATATATGGGATATTCCATTCAGATAGATATCCACATAATTCATTTCTATTTCTCTCTGATGTAGCTTAAGCTATGTCATAGAATCATTAGTATACAAAAAGTAACTTCAAAATATAAAATACAAGGGAAAAAACAGCTAGAGAGACAAAATGCATAATATTAATTATTACAACACAATATTACTACAAATTATAAGCAAAATATCTCAGTTCAAGTAAACTTAGATGAATAACATCAAGGCTAAGGAAAAAACTTAAAAATGGTTTAATGAATTCACTATTATAATTCCTGTAAAGAGGAAGCCTCCGTCAATTCACCAGCTGCACATTAATAAAAAAAATTTAAAACTAAAGGTCTAACCAGCAGATTACAAGTTACCTTATCGGGAAGGACTGAAGGATTCACCTTTTAAAGCACTAGGCAAATAGCTATGCTATGTTGGAAATCCACCTTGAACTGAAGAAGCATCAAAAAGTGATGATGTTAGGAACATTATGTAGGTTTTGAGTTATTTTGGAACACTCAGGGTACTAAAAAAAAAGAACATTTTAACAAAGTATATCATCATCCAAGACAATTAAAGTGACATAGTATTCATTAAAATAACTCAAAACTAAACTAGAGTAAGCTGAAAGTAGAAAATTTTAGCACCATAATCAAATGTTAAAACAGGACTAAGACAGTTATGCTTCAAAATCAAAACGTTTCCTACCGAAGAACTTAAATATCTCTAGATGTGACGACAGTAGTATGGCTCTGGTGTTCATCTGGTTCATAATCTGCAAGAAACTCATCAAGTCAGCGTCATTGATAGTAGATTATGCAGAAGCATATAAAGAAGTTTGGAGAAATAAAAATCACAATGCATGAAAACTGCAATGAATTAAACAATGTGCAAAGAATACATTTCTTTTTAATGGAGATAGGGAACTAGGGGAATAAGTGATGGAAGTTTGCAGCTTTACACCTGAAACTTCAGTTAGGCTAGACACTCATATCCGAGTCTTAGCAACATAAGTATAATGCTTATTTTAGAAAATGGACAAAATAACCCCCATTTTACACCAAATACGCATCATATAAATTGTAGTCACCTCTCATTGCATTCTACATATAATGTAACATGGAAACACAAGTCACGGTGGAAACCACATACAATGCAAACAAGGGTAAGAACAGCTCCATTTTTATCACTCGACAAAAACTTTCTGCATCCATTTACTGCATACTCTTTAGCGTTAGAAACAAGTTATGTTTTGACAGTCCATATCAATCAAACACCAACCCAGAAAGGCATAATTAGTTGAGTTGCTGACTAACAACATCAACATCATTTGTATATTATCTTAACTTCCAACCAAAAGGCAAAAACTCAACGAAAGCAGTTTGAGTGTTTGACAAATTGGCACACAGAACTAGAAAAATGCTCTTTGGTGCTTTGTGCCTAAACCATTAAACTTACTGTTTGACCTTATATTGCTTCATGGACTAATTAAGTACTTTCTAAATTTTGAATATTCCAACAAATCCTCCAACTAAAGGATTTTAAATATCGAGATTTAAATCCTAGAAAGATAATACGGTGTACAGGAGTTTTACAAATCCCATCTTTTCTGGACACCTGATCGTAGAGGGTAATTCCTAATTATAAGATAAAGTAATTGGCTAACTTAATACCTTAGATATTGTAGATCCGCTTTACCCTAATCCTTAAACAAATGATTTTATGTTAAAACTGATATACCTCCTATGGTAGAGTTGAGGAATTACAAACAAATACCTTAGATATTGTAGATCCGCTTTACCCCAATCCTTAATTAATATACCTCCTATGGTAGAGTTGAGGAATTTTTGCAAAAATCAAAATCGATCCTCACATCATTATACAATTAGTTAAATCAGATCCAGGAACTCATAAATCATCAAATTAAATTACAAATTACAAAAAAAAAAAAAAAAAAAAAAAAAAAAAAAAAAAAAAACCGCAACAATTACAAAGCACAAACATGGAAGAACAACAAATCAAATCAGATTAGAAAACCAGGAAAGAAATTTGAAATCAAAGAATGTCGAAGAAAGCGTACCCGTTCACCAACGAAAGCACCGGCGATGACGAAGGTGACATAGATGGAGTTGAACAAAAACCAGCGAAATTGGAGTTTCTGGGAAATGGAATGTGAAAAGGAGAAATTTGTTTCAGTGGATGAAAATATTGAATAGAATATCAAGAAATTCAATGCTATTTCACAACAATCAAATATAACAAATTAAATCAGAACGGTATTTTAGCACAAAATCCTGGAAAGTGATGAGGAGAAGAATGAAATTACCTTAAATTGAAGAAATTAACAAGGAGAGGAAGGAAATTATATCATGGCTTCCACTTAATCCGCAACGATTTGATCAACAGATGAACTGAGATCGTATAAAAATGAAGGAAAAAAAACAATTAGGGTTAATTTGTGTTGAAGTGCCGAGATCTCTGAGAGAGAGAGAGAGAGAGAGAGAGAGAGAGAGTGTTATGCGTGTGGGACTATGGGTATACTCGTGGATATAAGGCGGTTTCTAATACTTGTGTCACGTGCAAACCATACGAAGTTATCGACGCTTTTTAACGCCAAGAAATTGATTCGACACATAAAAGCGTCGAAAAAAAGCGGAAATTTATTTTTCCGCTGACACCCCATACACAGCGTCGAGCCAATAGCGTCCAAAAAGCAAGGGATTTGTAGTAGTGCATCGCCGGTTCCGTTAGAGGAGGCGGCTTCCTCACCGCCTACCTCTCGTACACTTGAGCTCCCGAAAGTAGAGGGAGCCTCTTCATCAGAACCACTCTCCTCCAAATCCCTCTGTTCCCCGTCTGGGACAACCTCATCGGCTGGCACTGCTATTGTGCGCCGGCTCCTGGACCTTCTGGCCGTCTGTTTTGTTCTGGCCATTGTGTCCTACACAGACACAGAGAGGGAGGAATTCGGAGATGAGCACATCGGTTTTGACAGTCCAGAAAAGGCACCCCCTGATCTAGACTCAGCCGTTCCGGGGGACCGGCTGAGTATCCTAGGCAGTGCCGAGTGAGTGGATTGAGAACTCATTTTTATTTTCTAAAATTATGTATACAGGCGGAGAAAAAAAAATTGTATACAAGTTGAAAAGGAGAAAAGCTAAAATGGTACAGGCGGTTACCTTATTTTAACTCTGAAAAATCTGAAAACCGCTACAACCGGTAAACCGGGTGTTGAACTTCTAGCACACGAAAACTTGAAACTGCTTTGATGCAGACGAAGGCAGAGAATTTCTCTCTAGAAGCTCTCTCTTTCTCTCTCTAAAAAAGTCAAATGTGAATAAGGTGAGGAAAAAGGGGAGGTAAACTTCTATTTATAGAAAGTGAAAACGGGGGGAAATTCTTGTTTGAAATTCAAATTTTACTGCCCCTTACCGTTCACCTTTGATAGGTGGACACGTGTCACAGGCCCCACGTGATACGCACGTGAGCCTTGTGAGGGGAAATGTTTAGGGTAAAAAATACCCTAGACACGTGGACCAATGAGAGGAGGCCACGTGTCGAGTTCAAGATAGCCCATGTGGCCTAATATCCTCTTGACACATGGGCCCCTTGGATAAATCTGTGAAATGGCGGCCTTCAAGGGCCCAAATCCCAAGAAGCGTCGTAAAACGGCGCAACCCACTAAAATCTAGGTCAAGTAACCTAGATGGGGGCACATTCTCCAATGACCCTATAAATAGGGAGATATTTCCCCATTTTGGGGACACATTCAATCATTTATTACACCTACATTCTCTCTCATCCGAGAAACACCTGAGCTTGGAATCCAAGCAGATCCCCACCTAAATTTCCGCATTCTTTATTCCCTTTCAAGTTACTAACTTGATCGTCGGAGGCGGAGCTCCAACCACCCGGAGTCTACGTTGTTTTGCAAGTACAACTCAGACGGACCAGACTTCGTGACGTAACTCTCCCGAGGGACAAAAACACCCAAAACAATGAGAATGATAAAAGCATGCATGTTTTTTTTAGCAATCCATCAATACATGTTATTATATTTGTAAGATATATAAAATATAATATTTATATGGTTATCACGTAATTTGTTAATTTTTAAATAATTTCACGTAAACAAAAGTCATTAGATCAGTACACAACTATGTTACATGTATCTCATATTCAAATATTATAGGCTTATTGTGCTTATAAATCATTTCCTTATATAAAATTTACGGTTGAGTGTATTATTAACAAATTTCCATCAAATTCGCATAATTAATATCAGTATCAATTAAATTGGAAAATTTGATATATCATACTCCATATAACAAAATGTAAACAAATATTATTAAATCAACGGTGTAAATTTAATCATTAAATTAATCTGTATTTCTCATTAGAAATCATTATCACTCGATTTCTCAATAATCCTTTACTATTTTTATATATGATTTATAATATATACATACAATATGCTATAATATTTATACACAAAAAATGTTATTAACTAATTTAGCTATTTCTATTGATTGTTGATTAATAAACATAAAGTATCACTCGTGATATGATTTTTTTTCATAAATATTTTATTCTAAAACTTGTACACTAAAGTGTGTAATTAATTTGGAAGATTTGGGTATAAAAAAAATAATTTGGCGGTAGTAGGAGTGTTTTTTTTCCTAATATTATTAATGTATTAAGAAATAAAAATTGAAATGATTAATTTGTGTGTTCACATTTAATTGAGAAAACTATTTATTTTATTATTCTTCTAATATCTTATTGTCATTTTGATTTACTAATTAACTATTTAAAACTAATTATTTCAGTGGTCTATAAAATAAAATTTCAAAACAGATGATTACCACATGCCCACATTATATATATATATATATATATATATATATATATATATATATATATATATATCCTAAACACTAGATTTTTGATTTTTTTTAATAGGTTATCCCTATAAAATTGATTGTATAATTATCTCAAAATTAATTTCCATATTTAAAATATATTTGTAGTTATTACATTCTTTAATATTTTTCTGTAAAATATATATCCACGCTATATTTTCAAAAATAGTGGAGAAACTCACATAATTGTATTACACTGTTTTAACTCTTATTAATCTATTTTCTCTTTCTTGACCCCCTATTTTCTCTTACTCAAATATATTAAGTTTCCATTTAAACCTATCATCAAATCGTGAAAAGGTTTTACGTTTGATAGCAATCTAATGTATATCTATTCCTTTGTTTATTTCTTTGATGGTGAAATATTTCTTATGGTTATTGTAACAACAAAAAAATATATTAACAGTAAAAATTGTCAATATTATTTAAATTAAATATATTATTATTTTAGTCATTATAAATATAGAGCTAATTTAAAATGAGAAAAGACAAAATGATTAATTTTGTGACCAATTTGGTTTTTTTTTTTTTTTTGTGTTATAAGCTTTCAGTTGAAATTTTTCTTGATATTGATTTTAGATATACGAATTTTAATATAAATTTAGTTAATGAAAAACTTAATGCACTCAATAAAAAATATATGTAGGAGATCGAATAAACCAAATATTTGTTAAAAAACCATTCACTTTAAAAAATGAAAAGCATCCTGGGTGTATAATTAGATTTAAGGAGTCTGATTCAATCGAAATTTATTTACCGCATTTTATTTATTAGGAAAGGTGATTAATATAATAATGCATATTGTCATAATTACAATTACAAAAATTTATTGAATATGAAATAATTGGAAAAATATTATTGGATCACTTTTGCAATTTTGATTTCTAATAATGTTTCATATAATCAAATAGAAAATAATGATAATAAATTGTCAAATTTAGTGAATTCGTTAGGTAAAGTTATTTTTCTCACTATTATATACTATTTGATTTTTGAAATTGTTATAAAGAATCTAAATTTGTATTTTCCTACTCGTTTAACCGCTGTAATGGATTTTATTCGTCGTGCATATATTTATGTGTGTTAATTGTGTGAAATATAATATGTAATTGATTTGACGTAATTTTTTATTTTATAAATAATTTCACATAATTTGTTATACATTACACTATATTTGCTGATTGGTGATAATGTAAATCATTTTGAATCTTATAAAATGCTAAATACAACATGAAATAATTACAAATAATCAAATATACCATTAAATAATTATGAATGTCTTTTTTAAAAATGGTAAAAAGAAGTTTTAAAGATTGATGTTGTTAATTAATATATATGGTAATTTAAGACTCAATTTTTCATATAATTAAATTTGTTGTTCATATTGTCATTTGATATATATTAATATATTTTAATCAAAATATAACATAAAAAATTACATAATTTGATGATAACATATTTATTTGTAGACAAATAAATGTTTATTAATGATTATATTAAACCAAGAATAGTTTGTGATTATATTGATTGATCTACCTTTTGTGATTTAGGGTGAACCTTAGTAATTGAATTGAATCATATTTCATATATATATATATATATATATATATATATATATATATATATATATATATATATATATATATCCACGGGAATTTTGCTACATATAATCAATTAAAAAAATATTGCATTAAAGTTAGATATAATACAATTATATAAACATATTTGTTATCTTGTTATTTTGTGTAACTATTGAAATGAAACATGAAATATAATGAAAGAGTCGATTAGACAAATGAGTATATTAAAACTACATATTAGACCATGTGAGTATTTTAAAAATGTAATAATAATTTAGTATCAATTTTCATTTTATTAACCAAATAAATATTTAAAATTATGTATTACACTTAATAGGTAGAAATAATAATCCCGATTTAATGATATTTAGTCAATGTTTTTTTTCCTAAATATGATAGTATCAAAGTATTGGACATACAAATAAAAAAGAATGAAAATTTAATTAACAAAATTTTCTTAAATGATTGCATGCATAGATAATGTATTTGTAATGTTACGCTATTTTGTTAAACTCCCTTTATTTTGTTATGTTCTTCGTTTAAAATTAGTCGAGGAACCAACAACAACAACAACTAATTAAAATAGTAATAGATTCATCATTTAAATATTGTTGCAAAATTACATTAATTAAAATAGATTAATCATTTGAAGGATTAAAATATGATGTATTCTTTATAACTTGTATGATTTGTTATTATTCTATTATTATTAAAAGATATGAGGAATGGGGTAATAATTATAAAGGTATGTAGAAGATACATATATACAAAAGATTTGGAATAATATTGCAACTAGATTAGGTCTTGTGCCATGCACGGTTATTTCACTAAATTTAATCAGTAAAAGAAGAAAAAAAAATTGTATTAAAAAATAGCATAAATAAATTACATCTATAACGTATTTATTATATTCTTATTTTGTGTATATAAAGAAATGAAACATGAAATATAACGAAAGAGTCACTTAGACAAATGAGTATATTAAAACTACATCTACATGTTAGACCATATGAGTGTTTTGAAAATTCAATGATAAATTAGTAAAAAAATTCTTTTTTTTTTATTACTCAAATAAGTATTTAAAATTGTGTGTTACACTTAGGGCCTTTTTTATTTCTGCTTAATTTCAGTTTAGTTCAGGTCCAATCAGTTCAATTCAGTTTAGCTCCTAATTTCCTTCTCTCATAAAATAAGCATTCCAGATTAGCTCCTAATTTCCTTCTCTCATAAAATATTCATTTCTGTTCAGTTCAGTTTAGCTCAATTCAGTAAATGTGAACATGTCCTTAATGGGCAGGAATGATAGCCCCGTTTTGATATTTAGTCAATTTTTTCCCTAAATTATCTTACATGATTAAACTCCCTTCATATTTTTATTAGGCTATTCGTATTTGAATTAGGCGATAAACCAATTAAAGTGCTAAAAAAACACAATTCCAATTTAATAATAATAATAAATCTATTATTTAATAGATTCATCATTTTAATTGAAAAAAATTATGGTGTATTTGTCATACAAAGTAATAATTATGGAAAACAGAGAGTAATAACTAAAAAATATATATTTTTTTTTTTATGGGAACTAAAAGGAATATAATTACTATAAAAGATATGTGTAAAATATTTGAAATAATATTGTGATAGTTATATTATACAAAACTTCTCAAACAAGATTTTAGCAAAAAAAGGAAGGGGTTTTTAAGGTAAAAAATTACACAAGGAATTGACTCGTGTCATTCCTAATGTCTGTTTTAGTATTATGTTATTACTGATTGATTTAAATTTTAATCCTAAATTATTTAAGTAAATAACAAAAGTATCACTAGTTGATTTAATATTTACATTTCATTATAAACATTTATAACTTCTACTACATATTTTTAAAAAATAATTATTTTCAAGAAAAAAATATATATACTCCGTATATGATATGTAATAAACGTTGTACATAACATGTTTTTCCGGAGAAAAAAAAAAAAAAAAAAACTCCATATATCACAATTATGTTAATTTTTTTTAATGTTTTTTTTTTGGAAGGATGCATCAAATCTTCTATTATACTCCATAAATAATCATTATTATATATATGTAAAGATTTATTTCTCAAATATTATAATTTTTATTCACAAAAAAATAATAATAATAAAAACTAAAGACATACCAGGAGATAACACGTGTCATTGCTGGTGTGTTTTTTAGTATATAGTTAACATATAAAAAATGATAACCTTTAAATAAGATAAATTCATCACATAAATCAACGTTAACTTAAAATAAACACAAATAACTAAGTTACACGAAAATAAACGAAAAATAAACTACCATTGTAAATTTTGTTAATTCATGTCAATTGTCTTGGGATTCAATAACCCATATTTCTTTCTCTTCATAGAGCAACCTAAGATACTACTCCATAGTACAGACGAATTTTTAATCTCATAGCTTGGATACCACGCCTAAAAATTTACTACCATATAATAGTGTAGTGTAGTATATGTTCACCTTTACATATACTTACATTCATTAACTTTTTGGCCGACCTCTATCAACAGCTTAACCGGACATAAATTGAGAGAGAGAGAGATTTCTTTACATAATCTGGTTCACAATTTATGCAACTATTTTCGAATTTCGATTCAAATATTGGTTTGCTGAACATGATAAAAAAAAAAAAAGATCTTACCTCACTGCATCAAGCACACCCCCAATATGACCTTGCAAATACTCTACTCTTGATAGATAATTCAATGATGAATTATACTCCATCACTTGGCCTGGTATAAAATTACAATTAAATGCCAAAAAATTGTTAATAGTACTTGGATTACGACCCTAACTTGTTCATGTAAATCTTCAACGAATAAGGAGAGAAAAAAGAACAAAAATTAAACCTAGGTGCATAGTGCTTATGGTGCGAGTGCCTCCCACTCCATGTGTACTAAGGGTCTGTTCTCTTCAGCTTAATTTCAGTTTAGTTCAGGTCAGCTCCAATCAATTCAGTTCAGTTCAGATCCTAATTTCCTTCTCTCATAAAATATTTAGTTCATTTTAGTTCATCTTTAATCATTTCAGTTTAGCTCAGTTCAACTCAGGTCAATAAATCAGAACAAGCCCTAAAAGAAAATAACTTAATGTCACTCATTTACCTAGATAAACTATAATTATGTTTTTGCAGTCTGAATTATATATTCACTAGGTTAGTTCTAATGACATGCACGGTTATTTTAATTACTCCATATTTTCTTTTTATAAATTAATTTATATCATACAAAATAAAAAATCACTGGTAATATCTTTGTATAATAAATTATATTCCACCATCTTTCAAAAAAAAAATAAGAAAAATTATATTCCACCAAAATTACATCTTCTTTAAAAAGATTTTCCTTATTAATCCGTACTTAGTTGTGCATCAACTTAAGAAAGTAAATATTATTACTTATTTATTTGTTTGATAAAAAGAAACTTTATTTTTAAATAAATTTCGTAAATAATTTTTTTAAATTAAATTAAATATTTTAAAAAAATACTAAGGACACACCAGAATTCGACATGTATCATTGTTGGTTGTCGTTTAGTATATAGTTATTGTTATTGCTTTACTCTGTTCTTTTTATATGACATATTATCTTTATGAATGTAGATTAAACATATCTAATGGTAAGGTGCACTAGTTTAATATTGATGAGATTGTCGTTTTAAAATAGGTGCACCCAGATGCATAAATCAAACATTGAATGAAAAATAGTGTTACTAAGAGGATCGAGAAAGTGTAACATAAAGGGAGGGGAGAAAAGGTCATAAGCCATTGCAGTTTGAATTATAGTTCATGTAATCATGTAGCAAACAGCAAAGGAGGGAAGAATGTACCATTTTCATGGATATAAACAGGAGGATTGCCATAAACATTCTTGAAGTACTCCAAAAATCCTTGTAAACCCCATGGTAAGTTAGGGTATGTTTGCTGAGGGATCAAATTGAAAATACATGTAATTAGATTAGAAAGAAGAGAGAAATGCAAATGGAACAACTTTAATCGCTAAAATGTAATTTCTTAGTAATTACAACGTCAGCAGGAGACTCACTGCTACTGTTAAAAAACTGCAGCAAATTAAAAGAGAAATATATCAGCTAAATCAGCATATTAAAACACAAATTTCCCTTGTTCTTTTATGTTCTACTTGTATTTGGTTACTCAACATCATTCAAAATAATATTGAAAATGTGAGTACCTAGGATAAAATGGTTAGAGAGAAAATGTAGAAAAAGATGGATTTGTATTTGTACCAAAGAAAAAGGTATGTGAAAATTTAAGTACCAAATAAATGGATTTGGATCAGTGGCAAATTTAGGATTTTCGAACTAATGAGTCACCGCCAATAATTGATCACTTGTTTCAATCCAAATATATATATATATATATATATATATATATATATATATTATATATATATATATATATATATATATCCCCAAAATGATTTCAATCCATAAATATCCATACTACAATAGTACTTAAAAATTCAATCTTACAAGTCAAAAGTACGTTATCCAAATAAATAACATGTTACAAACAATGGTACTATAAAATTATTACATGCATTAAATTAACTTTATGATTTTTTACTTAATTGATAAGCTTTGTGGGAAAATATTAAAATTGGTTGCATAAATATAGTATAAATAGAAACAAGAATTATTAAAAAAAATTATACGGAGTACCAAAAAAAATGAATAACTTAAGAGGCATGTTATTTAATATAACATGTCTCTTTAATGAAAAGCACATATTTCAATGTCAGCAACAGAAATAACAGGTCTTTTTGATATTTAAATAAAAAATTTGACACAGTGCTAACTCAGATGGGCAACAGCAATAGCAACTGAAAATAGGCGGTCTCTTTAATATTTTTTTTTTAAAAAGAAAAATATAATTTTTTTATGCTGGTGAGTCAGTCACCATGCACATGAATAGATCCGCCCCTAATTTGGATTTGTGCAAGAAAAAAGATATGTGAGGGAGTATAAAAAATGTAATTATTGTGGGGTTGAAGAGAAAAGATGGTAAATTGGTTAGCCAAAGAATTAAACAAAGTGTGTATAACAAAAAAAAAAAACCTATTATCTATTAAAAAAAAAAAAAAAAAAAGCCTATAATTACTAATAACAATAATAGTAGCAATCATGCACTCAAATAAAATAAATAATTCTAATTTTACCTTAAAAATCTAATTTCATAAAAATTCTTGAACTTTTTAAGCTTTGCTTTTTTTTTAAATATTTTTTTTTTTAGATTTTTCACCAAAAATTCACATTTATTGATATAAAACAAATAGATATGCAAACTTAATGCTTTTTTTTTTCTCTTTTTTTTCACCAAAAAAACAAAAAAGGGGGGGGGGGGGGGGAGGGGTTAGAGGGAAGACTATTTATAAGATAAAAGTAATAATACTAGTACAAAGTCCATAAAGTGAGATTATAGTTTAAGAAACACATACACATCCATTTTGCTCTCACATCACCCACGTAATGCCTTGGCTCCTGGATAAGCTTTGTGTCTTTGGCAAAATTAATAGTGTAATAATTCAGTCCTATAAAGTCGATTGATCCCTTAACCATTTCTGATTGATTTTTGGTAAAACGAGGAAGCCTGGTGCCAACAATAGTTTTCATTGTTCCTGGATAATCTCCATATACAAAGGGATCCATGAACCTGGTGACAGACAAACCATGACAATTTGGCTGTAAGGCTACTTGCATATATTGTTTAAAAAGCCCTTTCCAAAACCAAAACTATGTACTCATTGTTTTACCATTAATGTATGGATTAGGGGTGCTTAATAAGTTGAGCAGCTCACAAGCAACTCGAACTTGACTCGGTCAATGCTCGGTCTAAATTCGACTCAAGATGTTAACGAGCACGAGTTGAGCAATCTCTAATTTGACTCGATAAGCTTGTGAGCAACTCGATAATATATTTTGTTATTAATATAGAATTTACAAACAAAGTTAACATGGGCAAACAAGTTTAAAACTTAATAACTGTGGGTTTTTTTTCTTTTTTTTTTTTTTTACAACGGTAACTGTTAATTTATATTATCAAAAGAATATATATATATATATACACACACACACACACACACTTCCTCCGTTCTTTTTTTATTGCACCATGAGAAATTTCACACTTCCCAATGCATTAATTTAGCTATTAATATCTTCAATTTACTTTTGTAAAAATTACAAAAAATTTGAAATTTGAAAAGTAAATTTCGAGATGAATCTAACTAGATCCCACATGACTATGTTTTTCCTAATGGATAAATCACAAATGATGGTCAAAGAAGATTAAGAGAATAGTATAAAAGTCCTTATGGTGCAATAAAAGAAAAACGGAGGAGGTATATATATATATATATATATATATATATATATATATATATAATATATTGATAGATATTATATTTACGATAATATTTGTTGCAGATTAGGATAATTTTGTATATATTATGTTATACCTCGTATCCTTATCATAATAGGATTACGACTCTTGTAAACCTCTATAAATATTAATCAATGGTACACACTCCAACTCAAGGAGTTTGTCCGAAATCCAACATGGTATCACAGCTCTAGGTTTTCGATCTAGCTTCCGCAATCTTTAATATTTAATCAATCCCTTAGATAGTTCCCTTTCCAAATTGATTAATCTCAATATTTTTTATTCGTTTTTTTTTTCTTTATCACGATTTTCCCACAAATTCAGATATTGCTACTGCACTTTCTACTTTATCAATTAATTTTTAGGCATATTGTTCATATTTGATTAATCAGCTACACCATGACTGTTAGAATATATGTTAATATATTCTTGTATATATCTTAGTTAGTTAAGTGTATATTTGAGTATATATCCTTTCCTAGTTTATAGGTTTGTTAGCATGATTGTAGCCGATGATTGCTACTATGTATTTGTATATATTGAACGCACAGCTAATAGAAATGATCAACGATCATATTCTTTCATGGTATCAAATAGGGTTTCGATCCTTCATCCTCTTCCCTAACAAATCGGCCAACCTTCTCTGCCTCCTTCTCCCCTATTTTTCTTCTTCTTCCGCTGCAAAATCACCATGGCCGAATCCAAGTATCACCCCTCTTTAAACGTTAACAACATCAAATCTCTCATTCCCATCACTCTTGATGCCGACCATGGGATGTACTACTCTTGGGCAGCCCTTTTCAAGGTGCTTGTTAGGGTTCATGACCTTTACAATCACATTATTCCTCCCACGGAGGAGAAAGAACGAGCAGCGTATGAAGCATCCAAGGCTGCTGACCTTCCTTTTTTGAAACTTTTAGATGTTGCAGTCCTCAATTGGATCTATAATTCCATCTCCCCTGCTCTTCTCACTGCCATCCTTCTCAAGGATCACACCGCTCAAGGCGCTTGGACTCGTCTCGAGTCCATGTTTCAGGACAATAAAGCTTCTCGAGCCTCCCATCTCGAACAAGAACTTGCCGACCTTGATTTCGAGAATTGCACCTCCATTGACGGACATTGTAATCACATCAAATCTCTTGTCGATCGTCTTGCGGATGTTGATGCTCCGATTCCCGATAACCGTCTTATTCTGAAAATGACAGCAGGTCTTCCCGAGGCTTATGCCGGAACGGTGGACTTTATTCACAATCAAGAACCTTTACCTTCTTTTGAGAACTGTCGTTCTCACTTGAAGCTAGCCGAACGGACCATCAAAAACCGTTAAGCCAAGGAGGGTGGGTCCAGCCGACCTCCGACGGCACTGATCTCCGGCACCGGCGGCCAGCAGGTCTCTGATTCTCGTGAAGGTGGATCTTCTTCAAGGTCCAACTCCAAGAACAGCAAACCAAAGAAATCGAATTCAAAGAATTATGGCAAGGCTCGCAATTCTGGAGGCCCAGCCCAACAACAGCAGCCCTACCCTCAAGGCGCTGCACCTTGGGCCGCCTGAAATCCATGGTTGGCTCAATGGCCCAACCCCCCTTGTCCGTACCCAGCTTCTTCCTGGGCCAAACCCGCTGCTTCTTCTTCTTCTACTGGCAGTTCTCGGCCAGGTGGGCCGGGGATTTTGGGCCAACACCCTCAGGCCTACAATGCTATGCAACCCTCTCTCACTGACATTGAGGCAGCCATGCATATGCTTGCGAATTTGGGTAAGTCAGATAGTAACTATTATATGGACATGCAACGACTCATATGACAGCGGATCAAGGTATTCTCTCCTCCTATATTAATTCGAGCATTAAAAATCGTCATATTGTTGTTGGTAGTGGTGATTTAATTCCAATTGTTGGTCATGGTAGCACTAATTTGCCCTCCCCATACCCTCCATTTACCTTAAACAATGTTTTACATGCTCCTAAATTAATTAAAAACCTAATATCAGTTCGTAAGTTTACCACCGATAACATGGTTTCCATTTCCTTTGATCCTTATGACTTTTCTGTGCATGATTTACAGACGGGAGCCAAACTAATGAGATGTGACAGTACCGGTGACCTATATCCTCTCTTTCCAACTACTCAAGCCAATTCCCCGGTCAATCATTCAAATTTCACTGCTATATCCTCCGATCTTTAGCATAGGCGCCTAGGACACCCCGGCGATGCCATTCTTAGATCTTTAAGTAGTCAAAATGTAATTGATTGTAATAAGGCTTGTAGCTCTTTTTGTTCTTCTTGTCCTCTTGGCAAACTATCTAAATTTCCTTTTCATGATTTTATGTCGCACACTACTTTTCCATTTGATATTATTCATAGTGATCTTTGGACTTCCCCTATTACTAATTCTTCGGGTCATTGTTATTATCTTTTGTTGCTTGATGACTACAGTAAATTTTTATGGACATATCCAATTTCTAAGAAATCCCAAGTCAAACACTTGTTTCAATCTTTTCATAAGATAGTCCAAACTCAATTTGAACGTAACATTAAGACCTTTCAATGCGATAATGGCACTGAGTATGTTAATGGCACACTTAAAGACTTCTTTAATAACCATGGCATGCTTTATCATCTCTCTTGTCCTCACACATATCCTCAAAATGGAAAAGCTGAACGCCACATAAAATCAATTAATAACATAATTCGGACTCTTCTTGCTCATGCTTCCTTGCCCCTCTCTTTTTGGCATCATGCTCTAGAAATGGCTACCTATCTCTTAAACATTATTCCAACCAAGGTCTTAGGTTATAAATCCCCTACTCAAGTTTTGTACCAACGTGATCCTATTTACTCAAAATTACGTGTCTTTGGTTGCTTATGTTTTCCTCTCTTTCCTACCAATTCTATTAACAAGTTACAAGAACGATCCACCCCTTGTGTCTATATTGGCCCTGCGCCGAGTCATAGAGGTTCAAAGTGTTATGACCTATCAAATGGTAAAATCATTATATGTAGGCATGTGAAATTTATTGAAAATGAATTTCCATTTTCTAAACTTCACAAGCCGAATTACAGTGATTACGATTTCTTGGATGAAAATCCAATTAATCACATACCCCATTTGCATACCACTGTTCCCCCTCCAGCCCAGCCCGTTACTCCAATTTGGCCTGGAGCCACTTCTTCCCCACCTGGGCCTTCTCACACCAGCCCAACTTCTGATTCTCTTCCCTCCTCATCAGGTACTGTCACGGACCAGCCCACCCCCTCAACCCAGACCACACCTAAGCTCGGGCCAACACCTACGAACAGCCCACCATTCACTTCCTCACGAGGTGCTGGTCAGCCCATCACCCCAGTCCACGACAGACCTCCATCATCTCCACCCACCCCACACCCTGATGACAGCCACAACACACCGATCCTCCACCACCACCACATAGACCAGCCGGCCACCCACCAAGTGACAACCCGTGCCAAAGATGGCATTATTAAGCCTAACCCCAAATATTTTTCCAACTTTAACACGATGACTACTACCTATATTTCTCCTATACCAAAGGAACCTGTTAGTGCTATACGTGACCCTAATTGAAAAAATGCGATGTTAGACGAATATAATGCTCTTATTGATAATCATACATGGGATTTGGTTCCTCGACCTCCTAATGTGAATGTTATTCGCTATATGTGGATATTTCGTCATAAATGAAATTCTGATGGTTCTTTTGAGCGGTATAAGGCTCGTCTTGTAGCTGATGGAAAGACTCGGCAACAGGGTATCGATTTTCAGTCCGGTTGTCAAACCGGCTACTATTCGTACTATTCTTAGCATTGCTATCTCTAACTCTTGGCCAATCCATCAGTTGGATGTCAAGAATTCTTTTCTGCATGATAATCTCAATGAAACAGTTTATATGCATCAGCCCATGGGTTTTCGCAACAAAAATCGCCCTAATCATGTGTGTCTATTGCGAGGATCTCTCTATGGTCTAAAACAGGCTCCTCGGGCCTGGTATTAGCGGTTTGCAGATTTTGTCACATATATTGGATTTGTTAACAGTAAATCTGATACTTCTCTGTTTATTTATAGACAGGGATCTGATACTGCTTATATACTGTTATACGTTGATGATATCATTCTTACAACATCTTTTGATCGTCTGAGGACGCATATTATGGCTCGTTTGAGCTCTGCATTTGCAATGAAGGATTTAGGTCCTTTGAGTTTCTTTTTGGGCATTGCTGTAACTCGTGATGAGAATGGTATGTTTTTGTCTCAGCAACAGTATGCCTCTTCTATCATTGACAGGGCCGGTATGTCCAACTGTTGTCCTTGTCCTACCCTTGTTGACACAAAATCTAAACTTAGTTCTACTCATGATGCTCCATATGAGGATCCCACTAAGTACAGGAGTCTTGCAGGTGCTCTTTAGTATCTGACTTTTACTAGACCTGATATTTCATATGTTGTTCAGCAGGTTTGTCTTCACATGCATGATCCGCGCAATGCGCATATGGGTGCCTTGAAGCATATTCTGCGCTACTTACAGGGTACATTGTCTTATGGTTTGCATCTGTATAAGTCTTCTCGTGACAGGCTGGTTTCTTATACTGATGCGGATTGGGGGGGATGCCCCGACACCAGGCGATCTACTTCTGGTTATTGTGTATTTTTAGGGGATAATTTGATTTCTTGGTCTTCTAAACGGCAGCCCACATTGTCTAAGTCTAGTGCGGAGGCCGAGTATCGCGGGGTTGCTAATGTGGTTTATGATTCTTGTTGGATCAGAAATTTGTTGCTTGAGCTTTTCTTACCTATTCGTAAAGCAACTATTGTTTATTGTGACAATGTGAGTGCCATCTACCTCTCTGGTAACCGGTGCAACATCAACGCACGAAACATATTGAGATGGATATTCACTTTGTTCATGAGAAAGTCGCTAAGGTCGAGATACGAGTTTTACATGTTCCCTCTCGGTATCATATTGCAGATATTTTTACGAAGGGACTTCCACGAGTTTTGTTTGATGACTTTCGTGCCAATCTTAGCGTCTGTGAGTCTCCCGCTACGACTGCGAGGGAGTGTTAGAATATATGTTAATATACTCTTGTATATATCTTAGTTAGTTAAGCGTATATTTGAGTGTATATCCTTTCCTAGTTTATAGGTTTGTTAGCATGATTGTAGCCGATGATTGCTACTATGTATTTGTATATATTGAACGCACAGCTAATAGAAATGATCAACGATCATAATCTTTCAATGATAAAGGATACCCCACCTCCATCTACTGAGTTTCACCTTGCACTCTCCGTCACTAATATTAAGAATTGTGTTCCACTAATTCTTGATAGGGAATCTGTTTGATACTCAAATTGGGAGGAATTGTTTTGCACTCATGCTGAGGCTTTTAACGTAATCGATCACATCAATCCAAAAATCACAAAACATACGGATATCTCTGCAGATTTGTGGAAAAGACTTGACGCGATCGTAAGACATGGATATATGGGACTATTTCACCGGATCTTCTTGAAACCATCCTGTGCAAAGGGGACACCGCGCAACAGGTTTGGGATAAGATCAAGAACATATTCCAGGATAACAAGGCTACACGGGCTCTCTACTTGGAATCTCAGTTCAACGATCTTCACCTCAGTGCTTTCCTTGATGTTTCGGCGTATTGCAAGCAACTCAAGTCCTTGAAGGATCAGCTAGCTAATGTCGATCACCCAATCTCGGAAAGAAAACTCGTCCTCAAATTGATTGGTGGTCTTCACAGCACCGATTTCGATACGGTGGTCGCAATCTTGGCTCAGACGGAACCTCTTCCGTCCTTTGAAACCGCGCGATCCAAATTACTACTCGAGGAGACTCGTTGTAATAACGAAAAACCGTCACAAGGGTCGTCGTTTGTTGCACAGCAAACAAACTCCACGCCAATCCCTAATAATACGTCACAAAATCGACCACCAGCTCCGGGCGGTGGCGGCAGGGGAGGCGGAAGAGGGCGCGGCCGCGGCGGAAAGTCTGGTGGTGGCAAGAACGGTGGCGGAAGGGGGCGTGGCCGTGGCAACAGCCAACCTTCGCAACAACAACAAGCTCCACCTTCAAATAATAGTGGCTGGGCACAACAACAACAAGGCCCAATTTAGTGGGTTGCGAATTGGGCTCCTGCACCTTTTCCTTTTCCTCAACACAATGTTCAGTCACAGCAGCAGCTACGGGCTTCTGGGCCTAATTCTAATAGACCAACACAACAACAAGGACAATATCAGTTTGTACCCCAAGCCTACCCGATTTTCCAACCACAAAACTACGGGCGTCTCGGAATTGGGAAATTCTTTTGCCACTATGACTCTTCCGCAAGACAACTCTTGGTATGTGGATTCCGGTGTAACATCTCACATGACCAACAACTCAGGTACTCTAATGCCCCTGTTTAATTTGAGCACAAATAATCATATTTTAGTTGGTAATGGTAGTCACATTCCAGTTACAGGTTATGGTCACACAACTTTACCATACCGAAACCCCCCTTTAGGTCTTCGGGATGTCCTTTTAACACCTCAAATTGTCAAAAACCTAATTTTTGTTTGTAAATTCACTTCTGATAATTTTGTATCAATTGAGTTTGATCCTTTTGGTTTTTCTGTGAAGGATCTACGTATGGGGAAGGTAATAACGAGATGCAATAGTTCGGGGGACCTCTATCCTGTAACCACACCCACTAGTTCATCCACTTGTCTTGCCAAGACATTCACCGCAGCTACCACTCCACCTACCTGGCATGATAGTCTTGGACATCCGGGAAATTCTATTTTAAGTACTCTTAGGTCTAAAAATCTTATTTTTTGTAATAAGGAGCATGACTCTATTTTTTGTGTTTCTTGCAAATTAGGAAAACATACTCGTTTGCCGTTTCATAATTCAAATAGTAATTCTTCCACTGCTTTTGAAATCATACATGCCGATTTGTGGACTTCTCCTATTCGTAGCATTAATGGTCACAAATATTATCTGGTTTTATTGGATGACTTTACTCACTTTGTTTGGACAATACCCTTAAAATTCAAATCCCAAACTTTTCAATCACTTCTGAATTTTAGAGAGTATGTTAAAACCCAATTTGAGCGTCTCATCAAGTCCTTTCAAAGTGACCATGGTAGAGAATTTGATAATGATCCTTTTAAGTCTTTTTGTATCACTAATGGGTTAGTTTTTCGATTCTCGTGTCCTCACACATCATCTCAAAATGGGAAGGCCGAACGCATGATTCGTACCTTAAATAATATTTCCCGCACTCTTTTGATGCATGCTTAGATCCCACCTTCCTATTGTCATATATCTATTGAAACGGCAACACATCTTTTAAACATCCTGCTACTAAAGCTCTAGCTAACTCCACTCCTGCTTTTGCTTTATTTCGCAAAACACCCTCATATGACCATCTACGTGTGTTTGGATGTCTATGTTTTCCTAATCTATCCGCTACGGCCCCGCATAAGTTGGCACCCGACATGTCACATTTGATGAATCCACCTTTCCGTTTCGTAATTTGAGCAAATTTCGAAACTCGGATTATGAATTCCTAAATTCTGATCCAAGCCCTTTGCTTTTTCCTTTGTGGCGTCATCCCCAAACCCAACAATTTGGTTAGGCCCAGCATTATAGCCCACCTTCCAGCCCAACATGCGCCACTCCCCCTTCTTTACATGCACATCAGATTAGTACGCAGGCAGGCTGCGGAACGGGCCCTTCACACGCGGGCCACCTGCAGGGACTAACCTGTCCTCTCCCTCATCTAGCACGACTACAGGCCCACACTCCCCTCAACCCACTCCATTGACTATACTTAGCCCACAACAACACACACAACTTTATTCTCCTCAACCTATGCGTGGAGTGCAACTTATTCAACCCACTAGACCTCCACCCCCTTCCCCGCCTATCACTCGTTTCGAGGAATTTTCAAACCAAACTCCAAATATAACTCTGCTAATATGACCATCACTTCTCATGAATCACCGCTCCCCAAGACATATAAAAGTGCTCTAAATGACCCTAATTGGAATGCGGCGATGCAAGATGAATATAATGCTCTTATTAAAACAGGGACTTGGGATTTGGTACCTAGGCCTACGGGGTGAACATTGTTAATTGTATGTGGTTGTTTAAACACAAATTCAAGTCTAATGGTGATCTTGAAAGGCACAAAGCTTGTCTTGTTTGTGATGACATGTCACAAGAAGTTGGTATGGATTATGATGAGACCTTCAGTTCGGTAGTTAAACCGGCCACTATTCGTACTGTTCTCAGCTTATCTATGGCTAAAAAATGGTCGATACATCAATTAGATGTCAAAAATGTCTTTTTACATGGTGATTTGCAGGAAACTGTTTATATGCATCAACCTCCGGGTTTTGTTGATCGGAGAGCACCCTCCCATGTATGTCGGCTTCGTAACGCTCTATATGGGTTGAAGCAAGCTCCTCGACTTGGTACCAGCGCTTTGCGAATTTTTTGGTCAAAATGGGTTTTGTCATTGCTAAAAGTGACAACTCTCTTTTTACTTTCCGACAAGGTGATGATATGGCATATTTGCTTCTTTATGTTGATGATATTATATTAGCTACCTCTTCTGACAGGTTGCATGAGGGGATCATATCTCAGTTGAAAACTAAGTTCCCTATGTCTGACTTGGGCCCTCTGAGTTATTTTTTAGGGATTGCGGTGAACCGTACTCCCTCTTATTTGCTACTTTCACAAGAAAAGTATGCACAAGAGATTTTAGAGCGTTCGGGTATGGGATCTTGTAAACCTGCAGCTACTCCATCTGACACTAAGTCCAAACTTAGTGTAGATGCAAGACCACCTTTTCGGGATCCTACTTTGTATCGCAGTTTAGTAGGTGCTCTTCAGTACCTCACTTTCACCAGGCCAGATATTGCATATGCGGTACAACAGTTGTGTCTTTTTATGCATGATCCTCGAGAACCTCATTATGAGGCATTGAAACGCATTCTGCGTTATGTTCAGGGTACTATTGATCATGGTTTACATTTATATCCGACCGCTTCTCATCGTTTGATTACTTACACTGACGTTGACTGGGGTGGTTGTCCCGACACTCGTCTTTCCACATCGGGTTATTGTTGTTTCCTTGGGGACAACCTCGTTTCCTGGTCATCTAAGCGTCAACATACTTTATCTCAATCGAGTGCAGAAGCAGAATATCGAGGCGTCGCAAATGTTGTCTCTGAGGCATGTTGGCTCCGTAATCTTTTATTGGAGTTACATTGCCCTCTTCGACAGGCTACTATTGTTTATTGTGATAATGTTAGTGCTATCTACCTTTCTGGCAACCCGGTCCAACACCAACGCACCAAACATGTAGAGATGGATATTCATTTTGTTCAAGAGAAGGTTTCTTTAGGGCAGGTACGGATTCTCCATGTTCCTTCTAGATATCAGTTTGCAGATATTTTCACGAAAGGCTTGTCACGAGAATTATTTTTGGAGTTTAGATCCAGTCTTAGCGTACGAACTCCTCCCGCTAGGACTGCGGGGGTGTGATAGATATTATATTTACGATAATAATTGTTGCAGATTAGGATAATTTTGTATATATTCTGTTATACCTCGTATCTTTATCATAATAGGATTACGACTCTTGTAAACCTCTATAAATATTAAGCAATGGTACATACTCCAACTCAAGGAGTTTTCCCGAAATCCAACATATATGTATATATATATATATATATATATATATATATATATATATATATATATATATATATATAAAGTGAACAAAAATAAATTAAGGCATATAATTATAGCAAGGGTAAACAATTTAACGAGCAGATCGTGAGGTATTTGACTCGAAACTTTAACGAGCATGAGTTGAACAGGTTTTATTAGCTCGAAACTTTAGTGAGAACGAGTTGAGCGCATGTAAAAAGTTTTTGAGTCTAGTCGAGCACCCTTCAACTCGTTATCGACTCGCTCAATAAGCACCCCTAGTATGGATGAACAAAGTTTCAAACTTAACGTTTGATCTTTGGATCCAAAACCTCATTGAAATCCAAATCAAATGTGAAAATTTAATTTCAAACCTTAGCTAAATTTATTTGGTCCAACATGTATGCCCTTAACACACATCTACAACATTTTGGATGAGAGGAATTGAAAGAAAAAGATTTATATCATTACTCAATAACCCATATTTAAATCTAAAAACTATCCATAGTTGATTTAAGAAATAAAAATAAAGGAGGTTAAGGTAAATCCCCTTAATAAAAATAAAAATTGAGTGAAAGAAACAAGCAACGTATGTAGCTTGATTCAATTCATTGTTGGTGAGCATTACATCTTTTAATATATTTTTGTGTGAGTGCCTTTTTTACTGTGTTAAACCATAGAAGTAATCGTTAAATGTGATGTGTTAATGTGTTTCCTTTTAGCCCATAAAAATCGATTTAAATATTGTGAAAACAAAGGTGAAAAATTGTTTTGAGGTAAAGATTGAGTAATCTTTACGAATCAATGCAGAGTTGATTAAGACAATACTAATAGTTTTTGGTACAATGCAAGTTAACATGGTTAATTTGAGGACAAATGTCAGAGTCAACAGATGAATATGATCCATTATACTTCCTTCTTTTTTTTTTATTTCACCATAAGGGATTTCACGCTTGCCAATGTATTACTTTGACTATTAATATCTTTAGTTATATTTTTATAAAAATTATAAAAAATTAATATTTTAAAAGTAGATTTTGAGACGAATCTAACTAGATGTCACATGACTATGTTATTCCTAATGGATAAATCACAAAAGATGGTCAAAGAAGATTAAATGAATAGTGTAAAAGTCTTTATGGTGCAATAAAAGAAAAACGGAGGTAGTATGTAAGTTGGTGCTAATGTTCAAGTAAGAAATAATGCTCTGAATCAGGAGCTAGGAAATTCGGGAGCTAGAAAACTTGTGTTGCGTAGTTGGGACGTTGCAGCAAGACATGGGCATGCCTCGACGAGGGAAGATGCAGTGAGACACACCCATGCCTTAAGGAGACATGGACGTGCCTCAACGCAGAATATGAGCACCACATTGGCACGCCCATGTCAAGACATGCACGGGTCGTTTTGTTTTCAAGTTACTGCTTTGTTTCTGATTCAGGGCACGCCTATGCCCCTGTGACACACCCATGCCTTAGGGAGACATGGGCGTGCCTCAACGGAGAATGTGAGCACTCACACTGACATACACACCCATGCATGTCAAGAGATGCCCGTGTCGTTTTGTTTTCAAGTTACTGCTTTGTTTCCGATATAGGGCACACCCATGCCTGGGGGGTTTTTGGTCGATTTTGGCCGATTTGTTTATGGGATTTATTTCTTTAATTAAAGTCTTTATTTACAAGTATAGGGGTTATTATAAATACTCTTAGGTTATTTCCTACCCAATATGATATTATTATCAATCTACCCAATATGATATTATAAAGTACAAGTGTTGCAATTAACCATCAACGGAGGGAGTATTTCATTAAGTTCTAGTTTAATCTACTCCCTCCGTTAATGGTTAATTGCAACACTTGTACTTTTTGCGGAAACCAAAACAAAAGTTTTAAAAGTTGTTTAGGAGAGTGTTATTGTATAAAGGGGCATGTGATTAGTATTAAAAAAGGAGGGAAGTGGGGGCCCGTTTTTTTTTTTTTTTGTAAGGAAAGAGAATCTGAAAAAAAAAAATTGGGGGGAAAATTTTTGGGTTAAATTTTTCCCTCATTTTTTTTACCCCCTTTTTCCCACCAAATTGTTGACTCTATTTTCACATGGAGTAATTTTTTTCCCTCCAAACATTTCACTGTTTTAAAACCCCAACATTGTCCCCTCCAATTAAAATTTTCATTCACTATTTAAAGTCCCTGCCAACAGAAATCAACATTGAAAAAAACCTGCAAATTTTTCCCTACACTTGACTTTTCCAATCAAGTGAGGGTATTTAACATACAACCTGCCATATTCTCAATTCAACTGTCACAGACAAATTCAAAAGCAAAAGTCAAAAATTTTCATTACACCATTGTTAACAAAAGCAAGCTACCAGTCTACTACTAATTAGTCCTAAGTTAGAAGCAGCATCTTCAATCCTCAGAAGAGTTCTGGTTCAGCACAGCATAGCCCAAAAAAAATCAGCCACCATCTTCATCACCAGCCCCAGAATATGTGGAACTCAGGTTCAGTAAAATGTCAAGCATGGCAGACATGTTCACTGATGGTTTTTTCAGCATTGACCAGATGCTCAACGAAGAAGGCAACATGGAAGACCATTATTCAAGCAATGAGGGAACTCACAACTATCAACACAATGAGAAACATCAACAGACAACACAAAATGCCAGAGCCAAGAAAGAGCTCACTGTTTCCCAGAAAAGACAGATTGCATATGCATTTTTATTAAACAGAGAGGGTGGGGAATTACCCAGAGGGTTTATAACACAGCAAGCACACAAGTTCCAGGTACACAGGATAACTATTCACAGACTATTGACAGATATTAAGTCACAAATGGAAGTGGGGAATGTGATTGATGTTAGAAGCAAGAAGGTGGGAAAAACAGGATCAAAGCCAACAGAATACACAGATGAGTTTTTGCAATCAGCCCCTTTGTACAAGAGGATAACAGAGAGAAGCTATGGAGCTGCCCTTAAAATATCACATGTCACCATCCATAAGTTAAAAAAAAAGGGAGAATCAGAACACACACAAGCACACATCACCCTGCACTGACAGCCAACCATAAGATTGCAAGACTGAAATGGGTGTTAAGTCATCTACTACCAGCTGAAGACAATGGGGACCCACGGTTTGTGGATATGCAGCAAGTAGTGCATATTGATGAGAAATGGTTCTACTTGAACCCAGAAACCAGGAAGTTCTACCTCCTGCCCAATGAACCTAACCCTTACATGTGCCAACAGTCAAAAAGGTTCAAGGTTAAAGGCATGTTCATGGCTGCCATTGGGAAGCCAATTTTTGGCCCCCAAGGAGTAGTATTACATGATGGAAAATATGGGATGTTTCCATTTGTTTATGAAAGCATAGCCAAGAAAAAAAGTAAAAACAGGGATGTTGGTGCTGTGGAAACAAAAGCAATACAAAATGTGAACAAAGAGGCAATCAGGGCCATGCTGTTGGAAAATGTGATACCTAGCATCAAAGCTAAATGGTCATCCCACCTATCTAAGGAAATTTGTATTCAGTGGGATAATGCAAGACCCCATTAAATTCCCAGAGATGAGGAATTTAATGCAGCCTGTCAGTCAGATGGTTTCAATATCAAGTTCATTTACCAGCCAGCTCAGTCCCCTGACCTAAATGTCCTAGATTTGGGGTTATTCAATGTGATTCAATCCATACAGTACCAATCATTTCCTACGAACTTAATGGAACTCATTCAAAAAGTGAAAGAGGCTTACGACTTGTTTAATCCAGTTCTAAACAAGTATTGCTGGATAACCTTACAATGTTGCATGGAAGAAATATTGAATCATCTGGGGGGGAATAATTTTAGCCCACCACACAAAGGGAAGAAAAAGCTGGAAAGAATAGGCATGCTGCCAGAGGTTCTACATGTGGACAGGACTCTTGTTCAACAGGCTGTTGAACACCTCAACAACATGTTCATACAAATAGGTGAAGGCAATGAAGATGATGAAGGGATGCAAGTTGATGCAGACTAAGACACCATAGACAACACCTCAAGCCTACAGTGAGACTGCCACACATAACTAGTGAAGATCAAGCAAGCAACTAGGTAGTGTTTATTGTTTTATTTAGGAAAATTTTTTGTGTTGCATTGGTTATGTGTATTTTGTTTATATTCATGGTCTATATGGTAAGGTATTCTTGACTAGGTTATGTTCAGCATGTGTAAACTTTTGACAATCCATATCATATTAATGGTGAAGTTTTTATGTACAAGAAGCAATTACATTGTTATTAGTAAACTGTGAAACAAAGACAGATACATTAGAGTAAATCCATCAGATGGGTGTTTTGTTTTCACAAAAAATGCATAGATGGTTCCCTCAACAACAACTTCTAGTTAAAGTTGTTGGAGCAATCCCAGTCATGCAATTTTTTTTTCAAATGAGTCCCTTCATCACTTGGATTTTAAAAAGGCCAAAAACACTCGGTTAAGGGACTCCTAGGTAAGTTGGGACCACACAATTAGGCCACAATGTTTTGTGATTTAGCTAAACAGAAGGGACTCAACAGCAGGGGACTTATATGCATGAAGAGAAGCTTTGTGATTTAGCTTTCAAACCATTCAAAGTAGGCAACATATTCATCATCATTCATCAAATCACAAACCCCAAAGCCATGACTGCCAATTAACTGTAACAAAATGACCAACCCCAACAGAAGCTCACACAACAGACTAACTCCCAAACACAACCAAACAGAAGGGACTCAACAGCCACAATTTTTACTGAAAATATCACAAACAGCCACCACAATCCCAACACTTAGAAAACACCCCAACAGCAACTTTAATAACCAACTGTTATCATAACAACACAGACATGATCAATAACAAGGCAAAGCATACCCAACAGAAGCTCAGAAAGCAGACTAACTCCAAAACACAACCAAACAGAAGGGAGTCAACAGCCACAATTTTTACAGAAAATATCACAATCAGCCACCACAATCCCAACACTCAGAAAACACCCCAACAGTAAAACAATAAACCCACTGTTATCATAACAACACAGTCATAATACTACCATCCACTTCCATAAATAAAAATAGAGGACTAAAAACCCCATTTTAAACAACATCAACGCCCACAATTATCAACAACAACCCAGATTTAGAAATCATGAAATTAACCCAGAGAAATTACCAAAATCATGCACGAAATTAGGCCAATGGACACAGAATAGCAAAAAGGGGCTATTTTTCATAACCAACATGCAAATCAAAGAGTTAACATCATTGAAAAAAGGAAATCCGACAAAATTAAAGGTAAGAAAAGAGTTACGCTGCGTAATTAGGTACTAGGGTTGTCATTGACAAGACCCTTAGCAGCCTCGTCAACAGGGGACCCAGATCTACCCCGTTTCTTGCCACAAACCACTCCAGCAGGCCCAGATGTACCACCATCTTCATTTTTTTCAGGCGTAGGGGCTACGGAAAGGGGTTCAACAGCCTCACTGTTCACCACATCAACAGAACGCCCCTCCGTCTCCAAACCCTCACCGGTTTTGCCGAGATCTGCACCCTTAGACTCCTCACCTTCCTCATCAGAGTGGTAAGGGGCAAGCTTTGCACCCACACCATACATACGACGCATATCCAGGTAGGTAGCCCTACACGTTCCAAACAGCCGCATCTTCCCAGTACGGCGCTGACATTTGTAGGTAGCAATAACTTCGTACTCTGGTATTTTCTCTTTTGGGGGACTCATTGTTATGGGGTTTTCAGGAAAGAAACTGGGAAAACCAGATCTGGATGAATAGGGTTTGCACGATGAGAGAGAGTGAGGTGAACCAGAAAGACAGAGGAAAGGGGGGGTGTTTCGTAAACCAGATGTAATGAACAGAGGAGAGAGAAGAGAGATCAGGAAATTAGTAGGGGTTGAAGGGCCTCATTAATGGAGGTAGGTGAGAGGACGAACACAGTGAGCAATGAATGGAAGATGAAAAGAGGATGTGATGGATGAGTGGGAAGAAGAATCTAGATGAGGGGGGTTTTGGTGGGAATAATTAGGATAGATGTTCAGATAATAGGGTTTTTAGATTATAATAACAAAAGGGATTAGTTTATAATCTAATTTTAATAAGGGTAGAATGGTAAATTTATCATTAAAAAAGTTACTGAAAAAGGAAAAAAAAAAAGATGTGTTGCAACTAATAGGTAGCACCTATTATTAGTAAGTGTTGCAACTAACCGTTAACGGAGGGAGTAGTTAAAAAGACATTCATGCTTTTGATGCATACAAACATACATTGTTAGAAAAATAATACGCCACGCCCGCCTCTGAAGGGAAATTCCTAATATAACAAAGTACATTGAATATATACATTACGAAATCTTAACCCAATAAATATGTTCCTCGTAACTAAGTACTCTGTACTTCGTATTATTAAGAGCTTCCTTCGTAAGAATGGTCCTCTTATATTAATCCTTTTGTCAGTACTTGTTTGTCCCATTGGTCTTTACACGGTCTCCAAGACTCGTCTTGTAACATAAATAACTTTATTTTTATAGACATAAAAATTATAAAAACTTGATATTAATAAAATATACTCCCTCCGCATTTAATTATCTGCAACATTTACCATAAATGGATGCTACCTATTATCTGCAACAAATTTTTTTCTTTCCTTTTTTAGTAAATTTTATATAATAAAATGACCACCTTACCCTTACTTTATTTTTTAAACTTTGTTTAATATCTTATAATTACACTTATTTACCAACTAATTACCACCTTACCTTAGCTCAACCCTACCTACCACCAGCCCAACCACCAGCCCAGCCCAGACGAAACTAGAGCACCACCCCCACCACGACTACACCCCATCGCCGCGCCAATCTCCGACCACACCCTAGCTCGTCACCCCATTCTTCGACCAACCCCATCGCACCCTAGAACCAGACCCCACTACTCCACCACAACCATTAATCTGAATTCGTGGGTTTTGCGGTGGGTTTCGTGGTTAGACCTGGGGTCGTGGGTTGGGCGGTGGGTTTCGATTCAAGATCTGGGGTCGTGAGTTGGGTGGTGGTTTAGATTCAAGATCTGGGATCGTGGCTTGGTGGTGGGTTTCGATTCAAGACCCGGGGTCGTGGGTTTCGTGGTGGGTGTCGGTGGTCTGAGTTCGTGGTGGGTGTCGGTGGTCTGAGTTCGTGGTGGTTCTAGGTCAGTGGTGGGGGTTGCGTGGATGTGGGATTAATTATCCCTTCCCTCTCCTTTTAATTTTCAGTAGTCATGCTTAAGAAGTTTTGCCTAACAGTCCGTAAAAAGTACAATTGTTGCAAATAACTAAATGCGGAGGGAGTATAATGAAACGAATCCAACAAGACAAGCTCACATTACTATAATACGGAGTACCTCTTATCAATTAATGAGAATTTGTCAAATTTTTTTATGTTTAACCCATTATTTGTAATGGGGCAAAAAATTAAGAAAAGATGGATTTTGTTTTTTTAGACTACTCTGTACCTGTATCATCATGTAACCTCAACCAAATATCAAAATGAATAAATCAATTATATTAAATTTCTTCAATCAACAACAAAAAATATTTATATATTTAAAGGATTATTAATACAGGTTTAAAAAAAAAAGGATTATTAATTCATAAAATACTAATGATAAAATAACAAGCAAAAATATTGCAATCAAATTTGTCAAGTTACCTTCCTCTATTTCCTCGAAAAAAAAATTAAAAAAATAGCCCTCTTTCAATTAAAGATGAAATTCCCATACTACCCTCACCACGAAAGCCGCTCAAGTCAAGTGTACAAGGGCAAATCCGTCCAAGCACCAGAAACATGACCATTTTCACAAACATAAGCTCTAACAACAGGCTCTCCATCATCATGAAACCCAAACCCTCTCTTCAAACAAAACGCTGAGTGCAAATCCCACGTCTCTTTACAACTACAAAACGCACAGTTTAGATCAATACTACTCCGATTCCCGTCGTTTATCGTTCGCCACACTCGGGTTCGCTTGAAGTTCTTAAAAACTCCTCTAAACAACATGTAATTCCGCTTGTCCTCAATATGAACACACCCTGGCCATTCACTTATGTACAAACAATCGTCTCGAAATCGACTCGCTAACAACTTACTTCCTTGTTCCCTACTCAGGTTCCACACTCCTGAAGCCAGGTGAGACCGTTGCGGCCTCGAGACCTTACGTCTCTTGGCCGCCTCATTGTTTTCATTGTTTGTAACAATAAACTCCGAGTCCAGATTCGACAGCCCTGTGGTTATCTCCATAGGGGTGGTGGACTCGGAGTTATCGTAGATTGTATCGAAGTACAAATCATCGTATAATGACCAACCCCCAAACTCGGGGTTATCATTATTACCACTATCGATTTCATTTGAGTTAATATCTGTTACAATTTGTGTTTCAATACCATTGTCATCCTTGACGGTTGCTAGTTCTGATGTTGACGACGACAACAACGAATCAGATATCGTATTGGTTTCGGTTTTGGTTTGGATTAGGGTTTCGAGTTGTAGATATTCCTCGGTAGCTCCGATTTCGCGGCCGAGACCGAAATCGGAGTTATCGAGCAAAACCCCGGCATGGAGGAGACCAGGGCAGCAAACAGCGCTCTTCAACAAAGAATCCCAACCGTCCGAAGACGATACCGAAAGAAGATCGGAAGAAACAGAAGGAAGAAAACTTAGACATTTTGATCTACAACATACCGTAGATATCAATGAGCTAAACTTCTTACAAACGCAAGACAAACGCGCCCAGTGACGCGGATCATCTTCTAATAAGAAGAATATCTTAAGGGTTACGTCGTCGGATAGCTTTGAGAAGGTGGTGTCTGTCATTGACGAGACGGTTATCGTTGATTTTAGACTCTGACGGTGGTGGTGTGGTGGGGATTTAGATGGAGGAGAAAACAAGAGGAAAGAAAGAGAAAGAGATTATGATGATGATGAAGCGGAGAAAATGGAGAGGGTGTTTGGTGTTAGTTAAGTTGGGAAATTTGTGGAGGGAAATGCATGAAGAAAAATGTTGGTATCGTGTCAATATCTGGTCCAAATAAGCAAAGTTAAGGTGGGGTACTTTAATTTATCTTTGTTGGGTGTATGTGAGTGTGAAAGTTTGGTGTTCTGATGGTTTTTTTCTGGTCAGTATTAAAGCATGTGGTATTAAAAGAATATAATAATGTTGTAAAAAAAAAGAATATTAATAATTTAACAAGTTGTCAGTATGAAGAATGAGAATGAGTACATCTGGTTGGACTGAGAAGCCGTTGAATTGCTTGGTATAACAAAGTACACGATCCAATGGCTAATAGGTTGTGTATTACGGGGTATTATCAGGTAATGTTGCATGCAAATTCAATATGGTGGCATACATTTACAGAGAGAAGTATTTTACTTTATCATCTAAAGTTTTTATTTTGCATAAAGTCTTATATGTGGCTAGTCACATGTTGTGGTTACTTCACATGATCGCATACAAAACAATTAAATAAGTAATAGGGGGTTACGGTGATGAGGAAATAAGGTTACATTGACGCGTATGTAGGTTACTTTAATGAGAAATAAGAATTACTCTCTTAAATAAATAGAATTATTCTTTTACTTTTTCAATAAAACAATAGGGAGTTACTCAAATGAACAAATGGAGTTTACTTATTTTTTACATTACTTAAATTCACTTGTACAATGAATTTGGGTTACTTTTATGGACAACAGGAGGTTACTCTTATGAAAAATTGAGAATACTCATACATATAAATGAATATTACCCTTATAAATTAATGTGGTCACAGTCACACCGTATGGCTAACCATATAGAAGACTTACCCATTATTTAGGTATGATTCTCTTTCTCAAAAATAAAAATAAAAATAAAAAGTTACATTCGTCTCACATTGACTTATACGAATGAAGTATGTTTAAAGATAGGGCAATCGGATTGATCAGGTTGGGTATGGGTATAATCAAGTTATTTTGAATTGGGTGATTTATTTTTGGGTCTAGTAGTGGACAATTAGGTTGTGTTAAAGTTGAGTCTGATCATATAGGGTTTTGAATATGTTTGGGTTTTAATAATATGTGAAAGGGTCGGGTCAAATATTGGGTTAAGACTTCGGATTAATTTCGGTTGGATGATTTCAAGTTAAGGGTTCTAGACAAGTTCAAATTTAGTCGATAATTCAAGTCACGCTCGAATCAATACGCTTGCACATTACAAAATACAAAATATAAAAATAATTCATGTCGACGATTAAGCTGTTTGGATCAAGGTAAGAATCGATTCATGTCATTTCAGGTATTAGGTAACTTTTGATAAATCGAGTCAGATCACTTTGGGTATCAAATCAAAAGTAGGTCATTTCGTGTTGAGTCGGGATTTGGATTGTTGTTCTAGGTAGGGTCGGGTATTTTGAGTCATATAAATAGTATGGATTAGTTTTCTCGGATTTGTAAGATATATATTAATAATTAAGTTTATATAAGAAATAATCATATACATTCTTCATATAAGAAATAATCATATACATTCTTAGAAGAGCTGATAAGATTAAATGAGATTAGATTAAGGCTTAATAAGTTTTGATAAGACTATCTGTTATGATATTAAGATATGTTAAATTATATTTGGATAAAATAATATAGTACTTTGTATATGGGCAATAAGATAAGAAGAAATAAGTTGAAATCAACAAACTAAAGTACTCCACCTTATCTTATACAACCTTTGTTTTATGCAAGCAATAATATATTAGGAAAATTGTTACTCTCTAATAGGTGTTTGATTTGAATTAAAACATCCCTCACTTCAAATTAGGGTTTTAAATAACTACTCATAAAAGTACAAAAATAAAGTATAGTACTTTATTATATATTTATTCTAATAATAATAAATTAAAAGAAGCAACTTTGTATATGGGCCAATTAAAGAAAGATATGCTAGGCAAAATCTCTTGGTAGGTAAACATAGATGTGGATGTGGTCCTAATGCTTAGAGATTAAATTAGCGTCCATAAGACGTAATCTTAAGATTTTAAAATACATAAGAAGACTAATATATATATATATATATATATATATATATATATATATATATATATATATATATATATATATACATATTTGCCATTTTTCTAGTTCAAAATGTTACTTTTGCCATTTTTGGTGACTCAAAATGTTAGTCACATTTGCTTTTTTCAAGTACCATTAATATTATTTTTTTACCAAAATTTTATAACATTTGCAAAAATATTTGTGCAAATTTAACTTTTCATGTAAATTTTACTTTCTCATGTACTTTAATTACTTTTTCTCTCTATTTTTTTGCATACCCAATGTAAATTTACTTTTTCAATATAATTTCTTTAATTCTCCTTAATTCCCGTAATTTTTCTTCAAATGTGACTATCAATCGAAGACGGAGGGAGTATAATATAAGATTGTATACTACCATTGTTGTATATTATTTGCAACGATTTGATATAAAGTAAAGAGAAAAAATGTCTAATCGTTACATATAATATATAATTAGGTAGTAATAAGCTCCATGAAAATCATTTCATATGACCGATAATGTTAAGTTGGACATAGTGGCATACCCATGTGCTTTTATCTCTATCCATTTGCTTCCTTTTTCTAGTTCAATAAATGTATGGCTTCAATTGTGTCTACTGTTTCATTACTTCCTAACAACCACAACTTTGTCTGCGCTAAGTGATCCGCCAATTCGGGAATCTTCGAATAAAAGGTGCTACTAGTATTGCCTCTCCCTTGGTTATTTAATTTACATTAGAATGTCAGAGATCCTCTCTTACCGAATTGGGAAAAGCTGTCACAGTTCATATACTCTTTTGTTTCATAATAATCAATGCATTTTTTAAAGTCAATTTCATTTGTTTAGTTATAATGACAAACTTTTAAAAATTAAAGACATTGTTAGAGATATGAGATATGAGATATTAGAAATTATATAATCATGGTGATACGTGGATTTTTAATGGTATATGTGATCATTGTGAATAATTATATGTGATTTGGTTAGGTTGTAGTGTTGAGTGTACTTCCTCCAATATTGCATCTTTTATGGAGATGAAGAGATGGCGTTATGCTTGACGCAATATTTTTTTTAAATAAAAAGGTTTTCGGCTCTCTTATGTTGTGAAACAAGATATATTGGTTCTCCTAGTGCCGTGAGATAAGGTTCATGTGGTTGTCCTCTTTGTGCTGTGAGACAAGGGTTTTAAATATTTTGAGTGTGGTTTATTTCGAAAAAACCAATATTTGTTTGAAGTTCGGTTTTACTCGGGAAAAACCAAATGAAATATGACAAGTTCGAGAAGAATAGACGTTCTCGTTGTAATTTTATTTTTGCAGGTTCGAAAAGAATGGTGTTCCTGCTTGTAAATTATTACTGTCGTTACGATTGCGGGAGGGTGTTAAAGATATGAGATATCGGAAAATATATGTGTGATATATTTTCCGTAGATATCATTAAGAGCATAATATAATTAGGTTTATTTATGTTAAATATATTACTTAGAGAATATATGTTTAGGTCTATGGTTGTGCTAGTATATCTTTTAGGATTGTTTCTCATCTTATGAATGTAGATTTTGTATATACTACCTATGTTTCTTATTATGTGCAACAAAGGAATATTTAATGTATCACAAATAATACCCCTTTATTGCATATAATAAGAAACGGATATAGTATGTACTCTATCTATCCATAAATAATAAATATTCTCTCTTCACCCTGATTTTTCAAGACAAGTTATTAACTTTTTTATATATTGAGTAATCTTGATGTATGAACATAAAAGTGGGGAGAAGATTCATGGACCACTTTCAAGAAATATCAATTACCAAGTAAGATGCTATATCAAGGGAGGCTATATACTTATACACTACAATCAAGAAAGATCGCATTAATTCTCCAATCAATTATCAATACATACATCCTATAGTATCACCTAATCATCTATGAGCTACATGCCTATTGCCTATATCTACCATTCTTCTTCTTTTAAGTAATCATCCTTCTCCTCATAGCCCCTTTGTTCGCCAAGCAATGCTTAGCCTGATGCTAAAAGTTTGGCCTCGTGACTTAAATATGCTTTTTGTGGTGAGATTTCTTTTTTTGTAATCCTCCACTTTCAATAAGTCTGACCAACTAAGTTGAGTTGACTTGACATATAAGAGATATCGATACAATAGGATCCTATAAAATAATAATAATATTAAAAATAATAATAATATAAAAAACTCATAGCCTTCATTCAATTATTACTCTCTACCAAAAAAAAAATTAAATTAAATAAAATAATTTACATTTACTTTTAAATCTATTATACTAATTTATTATTTTCCAAAATCTTGTCACAAAATGAAAGTCTCATTTTACCCAAAAAAAAATCTTACTACTTGAAATAAGTCTAGTTTGACCTTTAATTAATCTTTTACTCGGCTTTTATTAAGGAAGAAAATTAGGAGTTGAATTAAACTTAATTGATTGGAACTAAACTGAAATTAAGCTAAAGTAAACAGGCTCTTAATCAACAAAAACTCCATTAAGTTTTCATTTCATTTACAACAAAAATCTTACTAATTTTTGTAAACTCCATTAATCAACTAAACACTAGCTATATAATATTTTGTATTACCTTTGAATTGGTCAGATCCGACAACTTTGTTCAAAACGTTTGCAAAAGGCATATTAAACTTTTACAGTATTTGAGATGTTGCATTACAAGTTTACATCTCCGCCCACATCGTTCTCCTCTAGATGCAACTCCGCCTAAATTATCTACCGACTCCAATATAACTTCCGCAATTCAACAGACTCACTCATAAAGTAGAGCAAATCACAGAAAATACACCAAAATCCATCCTCCATTTCATCAATACCTACAGCCACATATTGCACAGCCAAAACGTTGAGAGCCTTCACATAATGCCCTTGAAAGATTGTTATGATACCCTATCGGTTAGAGCTCAAGCACCCGAGATTGATAGTATCAAAGACAACAGAAATGGAGGAAGGTCTTAATGTTCAGCTAAAAACTTACTAAAGAAATACTTTGCCATAATGGATTAATGGTACAGGTTATATGATCAGGTTAGTTGCAAAACAAAAAGCCTATTTTTCAATCACAAAGTTGAAGTGTTGAGGACTATAATCTTGATTCTCATCAGGTCAGAAGTTCAGAGAAATATGACTTTCTTGTTGATCGAATATCTCACTAATTTGTGAGCGCCAACTACAAGAAATTTGGCTACACTGCTTGATGTTACCACGAGATCAGAAAACCATAAAATCCTTACCATATATAACTAGAGTGATTAAAAATAATAAAAACAGTTAACTGAAGCAATTCTATGTTTATCCATACAAGAGTCAAAGTTTACCGATGACAAGAGCCTTGGTCATCACAAAGTGAAGTACTAATGTTTGCCAAGACCCTTTGTACCAAACATATGATACTAAAATTTAAAAACAGTCAGCTAAGTACACAATCATACTTGAGAAAAGCCAGCCTTCCAATATCTCTATTTGCAGTTAATCTCCCACAACTAAGACCAATTAAGTACTTGCAACCAATATGGAGATTTGCAACGGCTAAGGCAATTGAACCAACACAGCTTTACCTGTAATCAAAATTTTCAAAATGAGATCTTGCAATAAAATAATACGATGTTCTACAAAAGCAAGAATATAACCATTGTCTAGTAGATAGACTTGTACCTGGATGGACTCTTGCTCTTACTCTTGCTCCTACTCCTGCTAGGGCTCTTGCTCAAACTCTTGCTCCGTTCCCGACGGGGGCTGGGGCTACCCTTCTTGGGGCTTTTGCTCAAATTTTTCTTTTGCTGCACATGGACAGAATAACATAAAACAAGCCTAACTAACTAATTATCCTACCCAAACGATAAAAAAAGGGTCCTAGAGCCCATTCAAAGTAATGATAAATAGGAGGTTATATAGTTCAACAATTTATAACCTATAACAAAAATTAACTCTTTAATAAAAGCAATAGATGTGAACTTACAGTTGGCACTGGGGACCTGGACCTTGATCGTGATCTGCAAAAGTTCCAGAAACAATGCAATTTATTATCCACATGTCCTCAACAATCTTTCAGACCTTGACCCAAAAGCCTTGATTCCTCTCGCATGACAGTGTAACCATATTCATACTCAGGCAGGAACAAAAAGAAAAGTATCTTTAGCAAGGGATTAAAATATTAAAGCTTTTAACATCTATAAAACCAGGCAAACAAGCCCTCTACATGAAACGTAAACCTTTTGGAACAGCACCACACTACAAGTCAATGCATCATAGATATGAAGCAGAGCATCCCTTCCAGATTGTACGAACAAATCCAAAGAATCCAGATTGCTCCAATATCCAATAAGCAATTAGTCCAGTAATCCAGCTTTAATAAGGCAGTCCATGATCTTCTGTGTCCCAAATCTAGCACCCATGGACATGTGATGCTAAATGTATTAGAACAAACAGACCACGAAGGTATCCAAAGCTGCCACTCAAAAAAAACAGCCGCATACCTCACAACCAAAAGATTTGAGACATTTGAAAAATAACCCATCCTGATCCTAATTTGCAATCCCCATAAAGCCGCAAATATCCAGATCCTAATTTGCAATCCCAACATTGCTGCACATATCCAAATCTAAACAAACAAACATGCAATCTTCATACATATATATTTTAAGGGGGAAAGAAAGCAGTCTAACCGAGTGCCTATTCATCCCACCAGAATTCATATGGATGTGCTAGCATCAGAGCAAAAAGAAAATGTACACGAGAAGAGTTTACTAAAACCATCTTCCCAATCCTCCCTCCTCTCAGGCCAAAACAACCACCACCCACTGTAACAATTGACAGGGTTTGAAAAGGACCGACCCATATCATTATTCTGCTTACACATACTATATTAGCAGATACATTTATTTTGCATTATTTTTTAGCTGTCCTCATCCTCCCTCACCACAAGGTAGGGCTCAGTGTTACATTTTTCTTTCTATTTTTGTTAGAGAGGGAGGGGGGTGGACTCCCTCTTCCCACTCCTCTCACCCCAAAAGAAAAGGGGTTGATAGAGAAGAAAAATCAAACATTGATGATACTTTAGAACAGATAAGAAAACAATAAAACATACTTCTAAGCTAGAAATGGTTTGTAGCTATAGTGACGTCCCATCAATATCTAAGACCATTCATCTTTATCATCTAAGATATTATAGCCTGAAATACTAGTGAAAATAGATATTTGACATTTATTAGAGCAATTTTCTGGAATAACAGGCAGGTAGGAGAACACAACATACCTAGACAAAGAGGGAGACCTTGATCTAGACTTAGATGATACCGATCGAGAACGAGATCTAGCAGGTGACCGGCGTGAGGCCTTCTTGGGGGATTTGCTGCATTATATGAAGAGTAAGCATAAATAATCCACTCATTTGTAACCAGATATATTACTGAAGCTTATTCTGCTAGATGAAAATTATTAAACCTTGGACTTCTGCTCCTACTATAACTACGACCACGGCTTCGGCTTCTGCTTCGACTGTGGCTTTTGCTCCTACCCCTTGGACTACGACTGCCTTTATATTCCTTCACCTGAAAATATTTAATAAAAGGGGGGTTTATACATATTTTACAGATACTACACTTCAACTGCTGATTTAGTGTCGCAGATGTAAAAGTTACTGTGATGAATAAATGTGAAGTGAAAGAATGATGGCCCATACACGAACATATGACCGGGAAAATGCATTGCGAAATTCTGAGTCATCAAGCTTCCTGATCTGTAGTAACAAAGTAACAAATTTTAGTAATTCATGGCTACAAAACCGAAGGAGACAAGGAATGAAAAGAAATAACATACAGCATTCTTCATGTCTTCATAATTGGTGTAATCTACAATCCCAGTAGTACCTGCACAGAAAATATCAATCGATTTGGTCAACAATATACAATGCTAACTTTTATCATTCTAAAACATCAGGCTATTAAACGCAATAGGTATTGCAGCTATGTGCAGGACCAAACAAACAGAGTAAAAATTACATAAAAGTTAAAATACAATTTTGAAAAAAACCCTTGCAAAAATTACATGAATTTTAACTTAACAATTTGGAAAACAATCCTTCCAGCCTAGCTAAGAGTGATCTTAGTCGGGACACCTCTAACTTTAAGAATATCAAACTTCAACCAATGAACTTCCAAGATGCTTAAACTTGAATACAACGGTCAGACTTATATATGGATCCAAGGGTCAGCTACAGAAAAATTCAAATTCAAAGACTCAGGGACACGTTTGTTAAATGTCCAGATATTAAATATGGGCTCGGGGACCAGCAAATTATTTTATAATTTTGTATTCAAATTTTTTTCCAAAACATAAAGAGAAAAAGTAAATATGCATTACAATTTTGAAACTAGCAGACTGCATGAGAATAAAACATAGAGGAAAGGAGGTTTATTTGATAAAGAAAAATAAAGGAGTGCTGCCAGCTGTATAGTGTAAAGTATTTAAGTTGTCAAGTTAAAAACTTAATTGTTGACCAATTTACCCCCTCGTACTTCCAACACTGCTTTATTAAATGTACACACTCCTCTCCCTCCTCTCTTTGCAGCAAACAAATACAATGACAGCCTGTAAATGTGATAGTGGCTCAAATCACTCAGGCAACCAAAACACCCAGGTTCTCATTCTCTTTATCCCTGATTCGGTGCCCCGATGTTCCTATTTTGTTTTAAAAACCCTAACTAAGATTATCTGCCCTGCCTCTTGATTCAGTGATGGGTTAGGTTCCCCCCCCCCCCCTCGTATCCCGTTTCTCCACCCAGGTTGGGTCGAATGGGTTTAAATGGGGTAAATGCTGCCGAGTCTGAACATCAAAAGCTCATAGGAAATCCCTCTCCACTCTTCTCAACAAGAGGTAATTGACTTATACTATAGACAAGCTCTATACTTATCATATAACATTTCTTCTTCAAAGGCTGCAATATCCAGGCAGAAGTAGTCATAGAATAAAGGGTCATACAACTGATACAAGTATCAATTTATTAGTAGAAATAGTACAATATCATGCACCCAAAGCTCCTTTTCAAGCCTAGAAATCTAAACAGACTCTATAAAATATAGCTGAGGTAATTTCTCACTAACTACTATAAGTTAGACCACCACCTGTCCACCCTTTGTCCTTATCAGTTGTCATTCACACTACCTGTCAGTTGTCATGCACCTAGCTAGTTCAAAGGTTAACCTCCTACCAAAAAAGGGGGGAAATGTATCTATCCCATTGTGCAGAATTAATCCTAAGAGCAGCATTCACATATTGCAATTATTCTTTGCGAAATAAAGAGTTGATCCTTCACTCTGCCCCTCAAATGGGCAATTGGTTTCCAATCTTTTATTCAAAGATATTATTATCCATCAAATACAAACCTAGTAACTGTATCAGATGACCAACACATTTTTTTCCAAACTCCCTCTGTAGTACCTCTTGAAGAAATACACTACACTCACATCAAATACAAACCTAGTATTTGTATCAAATGACCAACACAAGCTTTTCCAAACTCCCTCTGTAGTACCACCATTTTCCAAACAACCAAAAATACACTGAAGGAAAACCACACGCCAAATTCAGATGCACAACTTTAGATCTAAAAGTATACAAAGAAATTTTCTATAGGAAAAATTGCCAAAAATAATACAAACTTTCACCCGTTTGCTAAAAACAAGTTGAACTTTCGATTTTTTTAAAATAATACAAACTTTAGGGGTATTCTCTTTAAACGAGACAATTTACCTACAACCTAAATGACCGGTAATTTTATTTTTATTTTTATTTTAATATATTCATTTAACAATTTTTTTTTACAAAAAAATTCATTTCACAACTTAGTTAACTCATAATCAACACTTAAACCATGCTTAATTAATAATTTTTTAAAAAAACCACTTCTCCTCCCCCTTCTACCAACCACTCCTCCCAACCACCTACCATCCCTGCCTCCCCCATCAGCAGTGCTAGTCGGACGCCCCACCCAATCGTCGCTCGGAAACCCTCTCCCCGTCGTCGCTCGGCCACCCCCTCCCCAAACCATCACCACCGAAGCCCCCTCCCCTAAAATTCCTCTCCCTTTACACGAAAACCCATAAAATCCCCCTCCCTACCTACGAAAACCCCCAATTGCACCTTTGTCCAGCCTCGAAAACCCTAGCCGGAAGGGTTTTGGCGGCGGGCGAAGAGGCAATTTGGGGTTTCGTGGGTTTTTGAGTGAGTTTCGTGGGTTTTGTGGTGGGTGGGAATCGGGGAAGGTAGCGGGAGGGGTGGAATACCACAAATGGGTCGCCCACACGGGGGAGGGGGTTGAAACGCCAGCCGGCGACCAGGGCGCCACCGGGGTAGGGGGATGGGCAAGGAAGGGTGGTAGTGGGGAGGGGTTTTTTAAAAAAAAACAAACAGGGAGGTTATTTTTAATTTTTAATAATAATAAAAAATATCTTTTAAATAAAGCAAAACAAAAAATAAATAATTTTTTTTTATTAAATTATCAAACCAGTAAAACAATGGCACGTGTCTTATTTACCTATTAATCAAGTCAATAACAGGTCATAACTTGTTTAAAGCGGTTACCTCCTAAAGTTTGTATTATTTAGAAAAAATCGAAAGTTCGACTTGTTTTTAGCGGACGGGTGAAAGTTTGTATTATTTTTGACAATTTTTCCTTTTCTATAAATAGCCCAATGTATAAAAAATAAGCTTAAGACACGCTGAAGCAGTGAAGCGATAAGGGTTATGCAGCGCCTAGATGCGCGCTACAGTACGCCTTTTTGAAGTGAGGCGCACTATATGAACAGTTGAAAAAAATTGGCAGAAATTTGCTTCATGTGCGCCTCAGGTGCGCCTAATTAAAAAAGCCTAATCCAAGCCAAAAAAAGCGGTTACCCCCTATCGCCTAGGCGCGCCTTTTCAAACACTGAAATAGCCCCGTCTCTGTAACCAAGACTGAACAAAATATCGCTAAAAATTCCCAGCAATATCAGCCACCGGATTTTTTGGCCCTTGATCACTAGGCACTAGCAAGAGTTCTGATTGGAATTTATATTGATGGGGACTACAAAAAAGGGGAAAGCATAAAAGGGTGTGCATGGTGTGGTGGTGGTCTGGTGGATATGACAAGTGCAAATGTACTGAAAGGAGACATTATTTCAGCAAATGATTTGGCATCAAAACAACAAAGTCAATGTAATAGACAAAGGATTCCCCCCCCCCCCACATTACATTCTTCTATAAATTCTCAAAACAAGACCCAAGAAATTCCCAACCCAGCGACCAATGGCTGAACAAAAAATTATTACCTACAACAAATTTGCAAGCTTAGTCCCAAATGTCACACTGTATTGAACTTCCATTTCACAAATCTTTGCCATTATACCAAATAATTCACTGTATAGTGACTATAGTCCATTGCTGCATTCTGTTTAAAAAAAAGAAGAGAGAAAAAAAAAAAAAAAAAAAAAAAAAAAAAAAAAAAAAAAAACCTATTTGCAGCCAAAAAAACTTTAAATCAACAAAGTAAATGGCTACTTTCCAACAAGAATTAACAAGCCACCACTCATACCTGAGTGCCTCACGCTGTCACAACAGGTACCCACCAAAGGCGAGGATAGATTTTACATACATTTGGTATTAAAAAAACAGTGTAATAACATTCAACAAGGGTATAGAACTACTATTTAAAAAATCAGTTTAGTATTGCCTCTGCATTAAATGATTAAAATATCCACATGAAAATATCATACTTAAGGGTCAAAAAACTTACCACCACCATCACGAAAAACTTGGGAAAAACAAACATCTCCTGCCTTCCGCATGTGATCCTAGAAAAGTTGGCAAATCAGAATCACATTCGGATTTAGAGGAGAGACAATAATATTTGGAGATGTTGAGATTGACATGTGACCAAAAATATCAACTGAAATACGTATATACCTTTAAATCTTGCCAGGAAGCAGAAGAAGGTAATCCACTTATCACCACTGCATTGAAGGCAATAGTAAGAAATAAAAATTAGAATCCAATAGCTAGCCAACTAATATTAAATCCAGGGAAACAATCAAATCCAGCACTTACCACGATACTCAGTATGTTTAGAAACGCCACGGCGTCCTCCACCACTGTGACTACTATAGCGGTCAGTTGATGATGAGTTCCCACGCCCACCATGAGCAAGTTCAACCTTGAAACCATCAAAGTAAATTTGCCATGTCAACTCTATGCTCTATAGAAGAATATAGCAAATAGTTATATCTAATATGTCGAGCAGTAAAAGTATCACAAACTAACCCGCAGACGATGTCCATCAAAGTCATAACCATCACGGCCATCTATAGCATCTTGAGCATGGCGAGCCTCCTCAAACTGTTACAGAACGCAATAATTACAGCCATATAACCAGCACAAGATGAATTTTTGAAAACAAAAACTGCAATGGTGTGGCACAAACATTTGCTAATATTATTCCTCTCATCATTCCTGTTGCCATTTCTCACAAATCAAAAGAAAAGCTCACCTCAACAAATGCATAACCTGGAGGTCTTGGTGGAATCTTCAAGTCAATATGAGCAATGGGTCCATACTACAACAAGAAATCAGCAACATCATAAGCACGTGTTTTAGACTTTTAGTCTTTTAAAGCATTAAAATTACTTGTGGTTAGCTAACAAATTGCTAACTTCAAGTAGCCTAATCATACTTGAAAACTAGAACAACATCACAAAACTGATAAAAAGCCTCAATCCCAAAACGATAGGGTTACCTACACAGACCAGCATGTCATCCCAAAAAAAAAAAAAATTACTCCTAGACTATACCCTAAAACATTCAACCTACAAAAAAATTGGCCAGCAATACAGAATCCACCCCCTCCTCAAAAGGTTCTAAAAAACTTACCCTGCATAAGAGATTTAAATAGTAAGCAAGCATTTAAATCACCGAGTTTTTTTCTCAAAGACAAGACTTCACAATACCAAAACACCAAGAGCTCTCATTGAAACACTTAACATAGTTATACTCTTCATTAACTGTAATTTTGATCCACATAATGCTTAAAAAACACATTTCCCACAAACAAAACATCAATAATGCATTCAGAAACAGCTGCGACGAGTGAAAACCGAGCTCTTCTACTTCGAAAAGCTTTCAGTAATTAAAAGGGAAATGAAATTAAACACCCTCCCTCCATTATCTTTCCCCAATCAGTATCCAAATAAAGGAAAATGAATTAAACCAAATTCCTTTCACTTCGAATAATCTCATCCAAACACATTGTAAATGTAACAAATAAAATTAATCAATCATACAAAACACAATTAAACAAAAACACCTAAAAATTATTATACCTTATAAAACAAATCTTCAACTTCCCTCTCTCTGATATCCCCAGGAAGGTTACCCACATAAAGAGTTCTCCTTGAACGGCTGCTCATTGTTCCTGAAACAATTAAAGTATCAGTATAATCAAATTCAACAAACAAAACCATGTTAATTATGCATAAATTCAAATCGAATTCGAAAAAATCATGAAAAGATCTGAAACAAAAATAAATTCGCATAAAAGACTAATTATTTACCAAATCCTAATTCTAGGGTTTTGCGAAGGGAGCTCGAATTTGATAATTGACTGGAAAATTGATGATTTGTTCGAAAGAATAGAAACCCTAGGAAAGAGTAATAGCAGAATTAAGAGAGAGAAAGAGATTTACCAGTAGCAGATTAACGCGCACGATATGAAATGAGCGAAGGACGCTTACGGCGGAACAATGAATGAAATGAAAGATATGAAAAACGAGTTTGTTGAGTCAAGTATTACACTATCTTCATACACTCATATTACGTCACCTTTATTTTTATTTTTATTTTTTAATTTGATAAAAAAAAATATAGGCCATGTTTGGGGAAAAAGTTTAGTAAAAATCAGTATCTTAAGGAAAAAAATATAGGCCATGGTATTATTTCTGGTTTTTGGTGGGCCAATAACGGTGTGAAGAGTATGCGCTGGGTGCGCAAAGAAATCCTGCATCTACCCAAAGGAATGGGAGGCCTAGGGATAAGGTCGATGGCTCTTTTAAATGATGCTTTGCTTTTCAAACAAGTTCATCGTATGCACTGCAATCCACAGTTGTTAGTCTCAAGGGCGTACGACCCTTCTCATCCCTGCACCTTATGTGTAGGACATCCTATCCCCACCGTTCGTGGAAATGCTTCTTGGGGTCGACGGGGCTTTCATAAGATTGCTAACAAATTCATTGCAGGGTTTGCTTGGAAAATAGGCAACGGAGAGAGAGTGAATTGAAATATGCCAATATGCGTTGGGTGAATGGCAATGTTCCAGTCTTACATTCAAACCAACTCTTAAGGGGAGTATGTCAAGGTCGGGTTGCGAACTTGCTTCATTAAGGGCCTGCAAAGTAGTAGAATACAGAAATTGTTCGTCAACGCTTTGAATGGGAGTCGGAACAACAGATTTTAGCCATGGAACTACCGGCAATAGAGGAATCCGACTTCCTCTATTGGTTCCATCATCGTTTTGGCTCCTACACAGTTAAGACTGGCTATGCTTTTCTATCTTCTTCTCAGGAAAGGGATGCTTTACAGGATTCCGAGAGAGACTTTTTAGGGTGTTGTGGAAGCTTAATATTCCACCTAAATGGAGTCTTTTTATGTGGAAGCTGGTTTCAAATGGTTTTGCTGTAAAGGCAAACCTACGAGGAGTCCCAATTCAAGAAAATTGTGACTACTGTGGTGACGGAAAGGAAAGTACTCAACATCTTTTCAGAATATGTACTATAGCTCAGTATGCTTGGAAGAATTGTTCTTTGTGTATTAACCCATAAATTGATGGATCTACTCCGTTGGGACCCTGGATCCAGAATTATATCCTGTTGTTCTATAGCGAGGATGGCCTACATAGTGCCAAGATACACACTTTCATTTGTGTTTTATGGGGTCTTTGGCGAGGACGAAATGGAAGGGTGTTTAGAGGTGACTCAAGTTGCCTAGCAACCCTCCATAGGTATTTTGAGTCCTTTATGAAAGAATTAAAAACCTTCAATGACACGGAGGTGGAGAGATCTAGCCCTAACCAATTGCAGTTAGGACCTCCTCCGGGCTTTCTTAATGTAAACATAGGGACTCATCCCTTTCCCCATAACCACCCCTTAGGGGAAGGTCAGGAAATTATTATTTTAACGGATGGCTCATGGCAGAAACATTCGGGGAATGCTGGTATGGCTTGGGTTACCACTACTGATGAGATAACGTACGCTGATGGTGGAGGGAACTTTACCAGAACAAGCTCTACTTTGCATGCAGAACTTTTGGCGTGCTTGGGTGGCATTCGATGGGCGAAGGAGTTAGGGTATGAAAGAATAACAGTCTACGCGGATTTGGCTATTATTATTCATCTCTTGAACAAACGGAGAAGACTGAGGTTTCAACTTTCTGGCTAATACAGGAAATTAGAAGGATGGGAGCCTTATTCCAAACTTGTGTTATTTGGAAAGTAGGGCGGGAACAGGTGAACCGAGCTCATACGCTGGCTAATCGGCGTAGGGTTTCTCTATCTAGTTTTACTGATTTGTAGTTCTCTTTTAGTTTCTGGTTGTCAAAAAAAAGAAGAAGAAGAAAATATACCAAAGTAATTTCAGTTCAGCAAAATTAATTTCAGTTCATTAGTTGATTTTGACTACCTAATTTTATTAACTTATTTGACTAACTTATTGTACAGCTTATTGTATAAAAGTGTTTGGTAAATAGCTTATTACTTAAAGTGTTTGAGTATACAAAATGACTAATAAAGACAATAGCATATTTAACTTTGGAGGATTAGTTATTTCATAAATGATATATGTATTTATTGTTAAACAAATTTACATGCTAGGTATAATTATTGAGCATATAATTTTATTAATGATGTTGTGAGATAATTTTTTAGGAGGAGATAAGGATTGCTAAAATTTGGATTATAATAGATATGAATTAATTTTTTATAACAAAAAAAAAAAAAAAAAAAAAACGCATGACCAATACAATAAAATAAAATTTAAAAAAAACAATAATCAAAACAAAGAAATTAAGGAAAAAAATTGTTTTAGAAAAAATAAAAGTTAAGGAAAAGAAATTGATAAAACTAACCTTGAGAAGTTGAGAACCATATCTTCTATGGAGTATGTGGACGGCTGAGGGAAGAAGTGAGAGTATTAATTTTGCTTTGCTTGATTGTATGTCATAGGGTTTACAAGAGGGCAAAATTGTAAGTTAAATTCATCAAAATAAATCAGATCTTTGAATACGCTGCTTTACCTAACGTTTTGGAAAAAGCCTTATTGAGGCAAATAAACTCTTTCAATAAGCTTGCCTCAATAAGCTTACTGCCAAACACTTGTATTAGTTTATTCGATTTTTTCACTATATACCACTGAGTTAAAGCTTAATTCACCATATATCACCAAAAACTTTCTAATACACCATGTACCAATGAGTTTAACATAAATGTCACAACATGCCCTTAATGACTAACGACGTTAACTCCTTTAGGCATTAAGGTTATTTGTGCCACGTGGCTATCACTTATTGGCTCTTATTAATATTATTTAATTAATTACATAAATAAAGAATTAAAAACTTTTTAAAAAATTAAATAAACAAATAAAAAAACACCACCAACCTAGCCACCGCTAGTCCGCTACCCCTCAACCTAGCCAACACCCCTGCCCCCACCGGCGCCACCTCCCTGACGGCAACCATCATAACTCACGACGATCCACTTGAACTCGCCCATCCCTTTCCCCTAAACCACCATCCTCTCAAGTCCCACCCTAAAACTCAAAAAACCCTCTCTTCGGCGACCAAACCTACTTGTCGGCGCCCAAACCCACCTTCCCAGCGCCGACGAACCTATGTCAACCCTCAATCTTCCAACTCCACCCCTTTCCCCCCTCTGAACCACCACCCCAAAACTCTAAAACCACAAAATCAAAATCTAGGGTTTCGATTTTGGGTTTTGGGATTTTGGGTTCAATTTTGAGGGAGGGGGATCTGGGCCGCCGACATTGGGTTTCGGTATGGTGGTTTTCGGCTTAGGTGGAAGGGCTACGGGGGGAGGCGTTTTAGGCGGGGAAGGAGGGAGAATTTGGGTTTGGTATGGTGGATCAAAGGAGAGATTCGTGCACGGGCGCAAGGCTGGGTGAGAGTTGGCGCCGACCCGTTGGTGGTTCAAGGCTGGGAGCGGGCAGGGAGGGGCTGGGATGCTAGGTGGAAAATGTGGGGAGGGGAGATGGTTGACAGTTGGTGGTGGTTTTATTTTTTTCAATTATTTTTATTAAAATTTTTTAATTAATTAATTGATTAATTACGAGTATTTAATTAAATAGTTTAAATAAGAGTCAATTAGAGGCTGCCACGTGTCACATTTAACTCTTCGTGACTAACGGGGTTAAGAAAAAGGGCATGTTGTGACATTTATGTTAAACTCAATGGTACATGGTGTATTAGAAAGTTTTTGGTGGTATATGGCGAATTAAGCTTTAACTCAGTGGTATATGGTGAAAAAACCGTAGTTTATTTAACTAATCAGTCAGCTAAAGTTAATCAAATAAGCTAATTACCCCCAATAAGTTGTTTACCAAACAAGGCCATATGTTGTGTTTGGTAACCAGCTAATTTGACCAATATTAGCTTAATGACTATTAAAGAAGCTAACAGAAAGTGTTTGGTGGAAAGTTTATTTAAAGAGCTTATTCTACTAAATAAGATCTTTTAAAAAAAGCTTCTAAAAGGAGCTTTTTCAAATAACTTATTCAATTATTGTGATGGAATGACATTTACACCTTCATTTACTTTAGAATCCTTTATGAAATATTGTAGACACCTAATTGTGTCTCCCCAAAAACCAAACCCATTGATGAATACCTTTCACGTCTTTGATTATCGAATGAAGTGAAAGTGTGAAAAGTCTTGTGATGCGGTTGTTTTAATAAAAATAACTCTTCTTTCTGTTTTCGAAAATGAACTCTATTTATGTAATGTTTAGTCCAATTTAGTTTGGTCCATGATAAGGGTCCAATAATGGTGTAGTTGGATTAAGCTCGAAAAGAGCTTTCCAATGATATATTATAAGCCCAATTCCGATGAATAATGATGACGTTATGACCAAAATACTAATTTGGGCATGAAATAGTTTTAAATGGCCCAATTATATAGTGGAGGGCCTATTAAGTTATTATGATTGATTTTAATCTTCTTGAAATAATAGAAGGTTATTTTGAATTCTAATAGGATTAGGATTAATAATTATATCTTTTATGAAAAATAAAGAATTCTATTTGGATTAAAACAAGTGTTTCAAAGTGATTAAATATGATTTTCAAATATAAGTACGGACATTAATTAATCTAATTTAATTAGATTAAGGATTCCGTACAGATTTTAGAAAACGCGTGAACCATCGCAAAACGACAGAACTAGCGAGCCACGACAGAGGTAGTTTTATTCCAGATAGGATTCAGTCTTTTTCTGATCGTTTCCGAGCTATTTTTCTTATAAATAGGATTGTATTTCCTCTTTTTTATTCATTCACAATCATCAACAATTTTCTATTCTCTTCTCTCTCAAGCTAATAGTTTTTCTTTCTCCCTCTTTCTAAGTCTTCCCTTTTCAAATAAAATACCGCGTTCACGAGTTCTAGACTAACCTAGTCAAGCTCGAAGTTGTGTTCGCCCTTTACGTGAAAGAAAGAGATACGAGACAACAAAGTAAGTAGATTTATTGCTATATTTTTGTAGAAAGCATGCTTAGGTCTTATTAATTCCTAGTATCATGTTAGGATGCTT